CCAAATGTGGCTTAAGTGCCACCGTTCCTTTTTCTCTCTACCACCAGATCGCTCCACATCACGATGCATCGCATCGTCTGAGACAACGTTGCAGTTGGCGACCTCTACCGGAATACAAGCAGGATATGCTTCGTTCCAGACAGCTCGCTTTCCTTTATCCGCGCGACCCGCCACTCACAAGCCTCGCTGAGTTCTCGGCCAAAAAGTCCTCCACCATCTCACATGACACTGTCGTCGCGTGTGTTGTGTGAGCAAGATACATGGGTTGCGCTCCGAAAGAGATGAATTTCTTGGTTCGATACCACCACATCCCGACCATTTCTGTTTATCCATTTAGCCAAGATTTCGATCGCGCTGTCCTAACCGCGATAGTCCATCTCTGTTAGCAAGAAACCAACGAGACGGCGTGTCGCGGACTGATTGGGCACATCGACATCATATATCCATACGAGTGCGAATGCGTCAGCCCTATGCCTCTTTTCTGACCAAGCAGTAGCCGACCCACTGAGGAGTTTGCTCCGCCACAAAACACACGATCAGCATGAATGCAGACTTCCATGCAATTTGAGTATCTCCTTTGTTGAGGCTGCGATTTGGCGTAAACACGATGGAGGCCTGATCACGTTTCATGGAAGCCGAATCATCGTCGCTTACAAAGGACTCTGCGCGTGAATCAGTCGTGCAACTAGGTTCATAGCCTCCTGGATTTCGAATTTGATGCAGGTGTAAGTTCACGGGGTGTAGGAGTTGTTTTGCATGAAATCTGGCACACAGCCTCGATGGATACCTTGGGCACGCACAGGCAGCTGCGCCGCAGAACACCCGCTCGGTCAGCTCATCTTCACGATGATCATACTGGTGGCCAGTCCTCTCTACAGCGGGCGCGTTTCGTCTTATGCAAGGTGGTGGTCATAGCAGGAGGGAAGGTCGACGTTTTGCAGGCGTCTTGCCTGCTTGCGATCGGACCATGGTGCTCCGCCAAAAATAGCACCCGTTCCTTCGTCGGTAACGCGTACCCCAGAGAAAGACCGTTGCCAGCCAAGCAGATCTTGCAAGGGCCACTTTCACTTTGAATGCTCGCGAGCATGGCTGGAGCGATCATTCGACGTTATGCGGGATCTGCAGAACTCCTTGCCTTATCTCGCGTCCACATGCGTCTGAAAGATGACGACAGACGTGAGCAACAAGCGCCTAACACGCTACTACGCGTAACGCGCCATTGGTGGCTTTCCGCCGAAACGAACGCGATGTGCTGTAGCTACAGAACTATCGATGCGGCCATCGCGATGGTACCTGTTGTTGCTCACGGAACCGACTGCGAAACGCCTCAGGCTGGCTTTTTAGTGTTGGGTTGTTCGATGTGTCTTACAGGGCCACCCTACTTCTTTGAGCACTGCCACCAGAACGGCACTTCTGCAGGAACGCATACTGCGACGAATTTCGGGCCAATGGCCAAGTGCGAACTTCTCTTACAGCGCGATGGATCGTAGATGGTGGGGGTGAGGAGTTGGGATTATGTCACGTCTGATGCAAGCGACGGCTCCAGATGCCTTTTACGCGTTCGACAGTGAGGTGGAGCGGTACGACAGCTTTCAGATGGCGAGCAGATGCACGTTTCATGTGGTCTGCTGAATTACCCCTGAGAATGCGGCCCTAGGTTAGTAGCGCTGGGGGTCCCTGCAGCGCCGGCGCGGCGATCTCCCTTAGAGCATCGTGAGGCTCGACGCGTTCAGAATTTGAGATCGCGAAAGGAGAGATCACCATGGACAATATTGATCACTAGAGGCAGTTGCTGCAGCACCGGAAACTCTCCGCACAATAGTCGCTGGCTCTAGTACCAGACTGGTGTGGAGGCATGCATGCCTGGGTGCCTGCATGCCAAGGCAGCCTCTTAGTGCCCTCTTGAAACCCGTGAAACAGACCACGGATGTTGCTCTTCTAAACAAGAGCCGTCCGTCTCCGCCCGGAAATTGGACGATCAATGTCTTCCTGGCGGCCTAAGAACTGAGCTTATACCCATCCGTATACCGTCAAAAGCTTCTCGAACGCTTCCATTCCGCGCGCACTCGCCCTCCCTACATAGTAACCACAGCTCTGCCCGCCCAAGACGGACCGTGAACCACCAATCTCCGGCATGATACTGGCGATTGCGCATACATCGAGATAACATGGAGGCCGACGACGCTCAACTCTACCAATTCAGCACCCCTCAGCAGAGCAACTCGTTCAAGCGCGCGCGGCGCAGTCTACAAAGCTCCACGCCCTTGAGCAGCGTGACCGAGAGTGTCACTTCTTCCCCCCGTCACTCTGGCCAGAACCAGTTGGCACCTCAGCTCTTTGACCATGTCAATGCGCTGAAGCATCTTGATGACCAGCAGATCCTCCAGCTACTTTCCGTTGCGCGCAATGGAGGTCAGTCAACGTTCAGCCCTGGCGGCGCGTTGTTTGCTCACGCGTATCCAGATGGTATGCGTCGGTCGGGCGCCGACCGATCGTCCATGTCGACCGTCGGAAGCCGCGCGTCATCATACCTGAGTGTACCATCCAGCAGAGTACCCAGCATGCTCTCGGACCCGCGCTCGTCCATCGCGTCTACCGACTCGTCCTTTACACACTACAGTGCCGCATCCTCGCGCCTGTCGACCGCATCATCCCGTCTCTCCACAATCTCCACCACATCGACGCCCGCGCCCAAGAACTTTGCCTGCACATTTTGCGACAAGGCTCTCAAGTCGAAGCCATACTGGAAATCGCACGAGGAGGAGTTCCACGAGCAGCGACTTACCTGGAGATGTCCCGACTGCGAGCAGATCTTCCATGCTGGCAAGCGGTTCCGTGAGCATCACACCAAGCTACACGTACGTCAGAATTACCCTTCATCTAGATTCAAGGCTAACATTGCACAGGGCTGTGAACACTGCAAGCAACCGAGGGAAAGCGGTCAACCCACGAGCAGGAAAGCATCGCCATGCGTCAAGAAGTACGAGATCGTCATGCACGACAAGGACGCCTGGGGTTGTGGTTTCTGCGCTTCTCTCCTGACCACCTGGGAAGAAAGATGCGAACACATCGCTCTTCACTTTGAAGAGAAGGGCGGATCCAAGTGGAACTTCACCAACGTCATCCTCGGTCTGCTGAAGCAACCCGAGCTTAACAGCGCATGGAACCAAATGATGCTCGATCGCCATGGCGACGAATCGAACTGGCCGTCGCTGGCGTGGGAGTCTAAGAAGTGCAACCGCTTACGGTATAAGCTCGAGACCAAATGGGATACACGCGTTTTCGACATTGAGAAGTTGGTGCAGGACACCTACGACTTGGCGGAAATCGAGGTGAAGGACGTCGTCGAACCCACGACTGAAGTCACGCCCGAAGCTCCGGAGTCCCTCGACAACAGCCAAGGCGAAATCGTAGAGTTCAAGTTGGAGTCGAATGACTTCATGACGGACAACAGGCTGCATAGCTCCCACGGCTTACCGTCTGATAACAGGCTCCACAGCTCGCACGGTCTGCCGTCCGAGCATATGATGATGGACATTGACTCTGTGGAGCCCCCACAGATGCATCACCAAGATATGCAACAGTCACAATGGCCGGTCAGCCAGGACATGCACCACAGCATGAGCGCGGCAACCGCCATGGGTGGCTTCGGTGCTTTCGATACCACCATGACGTCGATGCCAACGGACTTTTCGCAACCGATGGCGCAAAGCTTCCAGCCACAGCAGCAAAGCTGGCCAAACGCCGGCTTCACGTCGACGCCTGATCTACTGAGCTACCAGCAGCCAGCGCCATACATGGACTACCAGCAACCCAAGGAAATGGTCTCTGTACCCACATCGCAGTACTCCAACTTTGCGCACTACCCCCGCCAAAGCCTCCCACCAAACTTCTTGCAGCAGCAACAGCAGCAGCACCAACAACAACAACAGCAACAGGCGCCCAGCACGCCAACTTCTCGTCGCTACGTCCCCAGACTAATTAATATTTCCAACAACTCAAGCCACCGCGGCGTTCAACTCGAACAGCCACCGCCGCCACCACCCAAAGACGAGCACCAAAACCGCTTCTCCCGCCTCATCATGAGACGGCGCCCAAGCAACATCTCCCAGCACAGCATCGTCTCGCACCGCGATATGGGCGGAACCTGGGGCGACGATTCTAACTGGGGATAACTCTGATTCAGTACTCTCCTCACCGCGCATACACGCGCATAATACCACCTTTTGCACCCTCGGCTGGCCCGACCACGCACACTCTCCTTAGAAACAAACAAATAAAGCACCGCAACAGGTGACTCCGAACCTCGCTGTTCGTCCCTGGGTCCTGGCTCTGCCCTGCACCCCTCGACGAAGCGAGCTACACGACACCTCAACGGAGATAGTACCCACACACAAGACGCTTCATCAGCGCTTGCCACTTGTTTTTCCTTTACCATTTCCTTTCTCCTTACGTATACAACAGTGTTTCCAGCGGGATGGGATGAGGATATACCCATATATGCAGCGACTTGCCTTTTTTCCCACCATGTTTGTTGTCGCTGCTTCGCCGCAACGTAGTTTAGTGTCTTTGTTGAGAAGTTGTTCAACTATCTTTGCTTGCTTGCATGCACATGCACCTAATACCCCCGCACCTCTTTTTTCATGTTGCCATTTGGTTGCGACGCGATTGATGTAATGATGGGGTTTGGAATGAAATATCTTGGATAGGGAAGGAAGAATGGATGGGCAGGGCAGATACCATATAGAGTTACTTCAATATGCTTGTTAACTTTGTTTCACACGTTGGATTTTGACTGGCTCGGTGATGTTTCGTGTGTCTACTGTGCTTCATACGTTGGATTTTGAATGGCTTGGTAAAGTCGTGTGATGGCTCTGTGGAAGAGACGTCACGTTGCAATGGTTGATGTCAATATCAGGGTATCGATTGTATTCTGCAGGTCTTACATTTAGTGCCTCTACATACCCCACGCCGCCCATGTATACTCCACACTTCGCTGTCTACAAGACCACACGTCCACCCATGTACCCCTGCATGCACTTGTGCTGCTCAGAAACGCAGCGGAAGCACAACCAATTCTTTTTGTGGAATAGATGGCCGGTCAGTTTTTCATCCGCAAATGCGATGGCTGCCTCCCTGACTTTGGTGTCGAGAGGAAGGTATCGCTGATCGCCGCGAACAAGGCCATTTCCGAAATTGGCCAGATCGATCACCATTGACGCGTGCTTCTTGCGCTGAGATGCTGGCACCTTGAAGGCGCACAGCACCTTCTCGATCTGCGCCTGGAGGTTGGCAGGCTGGGCTTTCTGAAGCCCAGAGATGCGCAAAGTGCCGTGCTTCAGCTGGCTGAAGACGACATGAGACGTCTCTGGAGCAAAGTCCTTCTTGAGGTCCTTCACGATCTGGTTCGTGGACTTGCGCTTTGGCGCCACGACCTTGTCGCCCTCGCGGTCGTTCTTGTTGCGGGATGCGGGGGCGGAAGCATGTGTTGTAGGCTTCACGGGCTCTTGAGGCTTCGCGGTTGACTTGATTGAATCCAACGTCTCCGCCCGGCTTGCTTCAATCTCCTCCATCAGTCGGTCAACCTTTGCTTGTAGGCGGCTCATGGCCCCTATCAACTCCTCCACTTTCGTATCAGCCTTGATACGCGCAGTCCTCTCCTCTTCCAGAATGCTTAAGATCATCCCCATCTGATCCTTGTCGGTAGAGGGCGCCAGGTCAGTCTGCGTGGAGGTGGACTTCGATGGGGAAGGAGTTGAGGTATGTCGTGATCTCTTTTCCTTGGGTTCGGCCGATGAGCTAGTCTCCGGTGTTGGCGGAGCTGCGAACGATGTTGAAGAAGCTCCAAAGTCAAAGACAAGCTTTGGTGCTGCGGCCGGAGACACTGCCTTCTCCGCAGACTTGGTGTCGACCGTGGGGCTTGCACCAAGACCATCAGACGCAGAATCGTCATTAGGCTTTTTGAAGCGTGACGCTCGCTTCAGAGGTGCCACCTTCCTCTCTGGTATGCTGGCTGCAATCGACGGGAAAGGTTTTTGTACAGGGTTTGCCTCGGTCCCAATCTTGTTGAAGATGGACGCACCATCGGGACCGACGAAGGGGTTTGTTTTCACTTGATCTTTCACCTTATCCGAAGCGAAGGCGGAGGGTGCGGGTGCTGGTACGGCTGGAGAGCTCATATTTATACCAGGAAGCTGTAACGGGGAAGCACCGTCGGGTGGCGAAACTACAACCTCGGGGATGTCCTTATCTTTCTGGACGGGTAGGACAGACACAGCATCCGAGCCAAGAATCGTCTGAGGAGGCAGCGGACGAGCGGAAGAGGTGTTGGGTGTAATGCCTTCCGGGTACTTTGTAGCGTCCCTTAGTAGCTCTGACAACTCTCGCCAGGCGCCTGGAAGATCGTCACGAAGTATCTCGAGCCTCGCAATGAGATCTGAACACACTTGATGATAGTCTGTCACATCCGTCCTATTGTCCCATGTTGACTTCTCGAGTCCCCTGACATACGCACGGAGAGCCTCGTCTGACAGGATGAGCGTCTGCTCGGGACAGTCGTTGGGGACCTTATTGCGACACTCTATCAGGAGATCGACTATTTTCCGCGCAATGTTCTGGCGATCTTTTGCTTGACTGGCTCTGTCGCTCATGGTGTATGTTGGGGTGAAGGTGGGCTGCTTGGTATCGTCGGGTAAAGGTGGATCGTTTGGTATCGTTGAGGTAAAGGTGGACTGTTCGGTGTCGTGAGTCGGAAGTTCTACACTTGAGGTGGAAAGGATGGTTTATAAAAGAAGGAGAGCTGTACCGTGCGATTATATAGTATAACGCGGGGCTGTGACTTCGAAGTGAATTGGAGTATTTACGCCTTGGCGCTCAGTCGTAGCGCCGCACAATAGCAGATGTTGGTATTGTCGCTGAAGCCCAAAGGTGTCGCAGGGTGCGCTAGTGGAGTCGGTGTCGAGTAGTTTCCCTGGTGAAGGTAGACTTATGAGAGATTGATGAGACTTGTTGCTGGACGCAGCGGGGGTTGTGGAGATTTGAAAAGAGGGAAGTTTGAGCGCAGGCGGGGAATTGGAAACGCAAGTGTGAGTAACTATTAGCGCTATCAAAAAGCGCACAGGCTATGCGGTATATGTTCGCAGAAAAGTGTAGAGCGCGTGAGGTATCGGCCATGACGCGTTTGCGCTGAGAGCCTTTCACTACGTATAACGCAAACCACAGATCTTCCGACTGAGCATTCTGGCTCCTGAATGAAGTTGTGACGCCGGATCCAAAGTCTATCTATTCGATCTGCACGAGTGTACGAGTATTCAGAGTGACACCGACGTTTGAGGCATTCACCGCTAAGAGTTTGTCCATCGGTATGGTTTGTCGGTGACGTAATGAGTCTCGAAAGCGCAGAATGCGACAAACATTTGTGAGAAACTCCGCATGCGTTTTTTGACTGGCCGATATCTCCGCAAGTAATACCAGATCTGCTTTTCTAGTTGTGAACGTAGTTGCTTACATGCCATATGTACGGACTTCCGGGAGCCTGGGGACAGCTGAGGAAGATCGTGCAATACGATTGAGGAGATGAGAAAGCATTTTCCTTGCATGGAAACAAACATCGAGTGTTATCGGAGTACGAGATGTTTGAATTTTCTACCAAAAGCTCTGTTGTGTTATCTCGTCCTTCACGGTGGGCGTTCGTGTTGGGACGTCAATATGTACGCTGTAGTAGAATGAGTGATGGTCTAGATATGACATATCAGTGTTCGACGCGTGAGCAGAATGAAACCAGGACGCCATGCATTCACTCATGCGACGCGATGGTGAAGAGAAAGGCAAGGAAGAGCTGGCGTTGAGGTTGGATCGGACTGGCCCCACTTCGGACGGACCGCTCCGACGTGAGCCCGCCAATCACCCAGGCCACGGAGCGTCTGGTGTCTTGTAATCGCCAGGCTAGGGCGAGGTGTTCGCTTCTAGATGACTTGGTGACTACTTATTTCGAGTAGTAGTCGCCCTATGCGACATCTCCAGGGCTGCATGTGTGAATGGCGGCGTACGACGTTTAGGCCCACCAGGTCCTACCTGAATGATGGCACCACAGCGGGAATGGTATATTCCGCTTGCACGTACACTTGGGATAAGATCGAGTCAGATTACGCGCAGGTAATCTGCGTGCCGTTGATGACAGCGGGAGCGATGCGAATAGCGCACTTGTTCGGACTCATTTCCGAGTGCAGAGAACATAAGTTTTCATAGCGAATGATCGGCATTCACCGGAGTCGTTCCGGCATCAATAGTATGTTGTTCATCGATACTTTCCAAATTCAATAGCTTTGGTGCCCTGATGGTGGCCATAAGCACTAAGGATGTGGCTGGATCTGTCCATGCTACAACAGGTTGTCATAAGTGCACATCGTCTCCTCTAGCTCGTGTTTTCTCCCGAGTAGGTACGCACGGTATAAGCAGGTCGAAGAACAGCGAAGGCAGAACCAGAATCTGCAAAAGTAACAATGTCAGCGAGGCTGTTCCAATCCAAATCTCACCTGCCATGAGAACTCGCAAGGTCGACTTACGCAGCAAACACTGACAGTCCATACGACCATCTCATGACTTCGCAACCATACATGTTTTCCTTCCACGCCTCCGCACATCCGCGTTCCAGATACCAAGGCCGGAGGCTGATATGCTCTGGATCCGAGAAGTCGCCCGAGTTCTGGAGCGAGGTACTATACATCCACAGCACCGCGAGTATGGCATCGTACAGCGCGTTCACCGTGACCGTAGAGTAGAAGTCGAGAGTTTGCTTGCTAAAAGACATGATTGAGAAGCGTACAAGCCACACGAACAATGTTATGATGGCGATGCATAGATTGCAAAGGGTACAGCTGCTTGAAGTGTTAGACCTTCAAATCGCTGCTGTATTGAGGACGTGGGAGAATACCTTTCATCCCATATCAATGGTATGGTTGGTGATTTGCGATAGTTCGCATAGTCGTATACACGTTGTATAGGATCGGAGTTCCAGCCTTTGGTGCCGCCTTCTTTCCATAGTACAGTGCGGAAGCGATCGGGGTATGCGGTCGCACAGAGGGAGATGAGCGCGATAGCTAAGGTGAGTTCCAACAATGTGGCGCTGAGGAAGATGAGGTAGGGATTGCGGAGCATAGTGAGTAGGACAACGATTGACGAGTGATCAAGTCCGACTGCCAGTCATTCTGGAAAGAATAGCAGCCGTGCCGTGGAATTATTACGTCGGCTTAGAGTTATTGTGACACAGAGGATGTACGCTAGCGCGATGTCAGCTCAGTCGTGGTTGTCTTAGGTGCTCAATTGCGTCGTGAAAGCGGCAGGGTCCGGAAGAGAGACATCGAGCCTCCGTCGATCGTCAAGCCTATCAGCACCGAAGATAGGCAGCGATGTGGAGGGAACTACAGTGATAGCGATGCCTTAGCCTGTTCTCTTTGCATTAGCTTGTTGTTCAATAGGGAAGAACGCCAAGCAAAGTTGCGCAAATGGCCTCATACCGACTTTCGAGAAGACACTGTTTAATTAATGCCAACATGATGTTGCGCAGCTAATGCGATTAGAAAAGTGCGCTGATATGCGCCTATTCCTATGTGCTATCTCATCTCTTGTGTAAGTGAAATGACTTGCTATATGCACTGGCACGATGTGTATGTTGAGTGGAACTCGAGAACATTACTAGATCACCTCACACAAGAAAAAACCTGAACAGGCCTGCGGACTACATTAAGACAAAAACCTGCAAAGTAGGCGACCCAACGACAACGTAGGCTCTAGGGTGTTCAGTTTTTTCTTAGGTCGGCGTGAGATCCCGCAGTGAATCGCAAAGCAAGTCGGTCGTCTATGCTCATTACATTATGCATGCGCGCATATATGCTGCGCTTGTACCAGCCATGGTGATTGATGCTCACCGGCTCTCCTGTCTTGCGACTAATCATCTAACTCTTGCCTTGCTCTTCAAGCTTTCTTAAGCCTTATCAAATCCCTCTTGTATCCTCACGGGTCTCGCCGTAAACGCTACTCTTCTAACGAACAAAATCGTCATCTGCGTTTCCTCACATCGTTTCTCTTCGTAATGCCCCTTCCGTGCACAAACTGACCGAACTTGTAGTAGCTGGCTCATCGAGTCTTCTCTGCAGTGCATACCTCCTGGCGGCTCTTCATAATCGGGATCTCTTGGCAAGTACCACGTCGCGAGTCCAGCTTGGTATAGTGGAGGCAGCGTGCCGAGGCGAAGGTTGGGGTTGGGGGCCATGATGGCTTGGGCGTCCATAGGAGGAGGGTAGTGGTGGCTTGAGGCGTGTGGGCGAGGGATCCATCCGTAGATCACGTTCCGGCAGTCTGATTGTGACGTCAGATGCGCGTCCTCCCGCAGCGGCACGACTGTGCCACATGGACGTCAACGACAAGTGCGCGCAGTTCCGAAGTGACACTGTCGTCCCAAATCGTACAATGAAGCACCTCACATTTTCCAAGTAGCCAGCGTGCTACGTGCCTGCTTTGTGCATCAACGTCGCTACCCCCACATGCATCGCTGTGGGCTAGCCATCTCGACTCTGCGCCCCAACAGCACAACACACTCATAACCGATCAAGGTTATACTCTTTCGTAACTTTGATTTCGTTCAACCCCAATGAGCCCAGTCTCTCCGAAGGGGCCGATTCATTGCTCAGCGTGACGAAGGCAGCCGCCTGCGGTTTGATGCCTGGCATCCATTGCGAAGGAGGTGCGTTGAGATTCGATGTCGACGAGCCGTTGCTCTGTGTCCGGAACTTCATCCGGCGAAGACCGATACCGCCATCCTCTGTCGGGAGCGGAGGAGTTCGGCGCCACGAAGGAAGCGAACGGACGTTGGGTACGCAACAGCAGACAATACCGACAGCGACCTCGATTGGGGAAAAGCAGATACGCCACCACGACGCACCGATCGGGTCATCATTGACGTTGCCGAAGACGTCGATCGCGCAGTCAATACGGAGGACTGCTAGGATGGTACAACTGTGTGGTGTCAGCAAGAGCTATTTGGAGCGAGCGCTTAGCTTCACGTACAAGCATCCAAGGAGGAACAAGACCATCACCCACGCCTTCTTCTTGCCTGAGAGTTCAGCTGCTGCTATGGCAGGTATTGGGGCGAAGAGGATGACACTATTGAAGAAGACGTGCAACGATCCAATGATGATGCACGACTTCTTGCTCTGCAGCTTGCACTCTCCCGGTGGATGGCACATGCTGATCCAACCCGCGAGCGACCAGATGTACCAGATTGCGATGAGCGCCATCGACACATAGCAAGCGATCCGAGCGAAAACCCTCTTCTCGTACAGGCGGAGGTAGGATTTCGCAAAGGCCACCTGCACCGTTGCAACCGACGTGGCCCAACAGATATCAAGTGCGAATTGTATCTTGAATTCCTGTTAGCCAACTCTCGAAAGATCTCCAGCTAAACATACCCGCAGCCAGAAACGCTCCACAACGTCAAAGTTCTTCGTCGGGTCCGCCTGAATCTCATAGCTCGTAAGCCCTTCGCCGCCGAGGAACACCAGCACGTAAACTAGCGTAACTACGACGAAGCTCATAGCCTACAGCTGTTAGCATGGTACCGCCGTCAGAATTCCGTCGTCTTACCAGAGCAGCCAGCATCAGCGCATCTTCGTTGATAGTATTGACCCGTCTGACACTCCTCGTGTACCATCTCGCCGCCACCGCCGCCGCAGCCACCGCAAGGCATAGTGTAGGCGCAATCAACAACGCAAGCTGCTTGCCATTGACAATGTCGAAACGATCCGAGTTCTTCCCCGCCATGATCAATATTGTCCAGCTCTTCTTCACTTCACCGCATACCGAGCGCACATCAAAGCCAAAGTCGTCGAAAGAGAGGGGCGTAACTGGAACCAGGATTAAAAAGCCCCGAGCGGAGCGAGGTGAACGTAGATAAAGCCAAAGAGGCGATCCTCCCAATTGCCTGGTCCAGAGCACAGAGCTGTCATGCACTATGCTCGTTGAGTCCGCCGTCTTCAACGCCTATCTCGCGTCACCCAGGGTGCCTCAGCCGTGCGGCCCATGCGACAAGTGTAGTGTTGGCCTTTCGGGAAGCAAGACCTAGTCAGGGAGCGCGGCGGGGCTCATGCTGTGCGCCGCTGATTTGTCGCACATCTGACGGTCCGACGCGGAACACGGCTAACCTGCATGCATCCCTGCTAACCATATACCTGTGACCCAATGAAAGCTACCACACCAGCAGGCTCTCCGTTCATGGGGGCTTGCGCTGCCGGGGCACTGATGCGGCTAGCATGAGCTATTGCAGACAAAAAGCAATATAGCAAGCTGGCAATCCTATGCCGTATTCTGGTAGGTTTCTTGATGATAGTTTCACTTCCCTCGAGGCGATCGGTTAGCAAAAGAAAAGTAACTCAACGCTATGGGCGATCCGCGCATATGTGTGCATCACGACGTGCGGGGTTGCCGAAGCTGAACACCCCCGAGGTGACGGTTGGCTTCCCCTATCGATCACGCAGCCCCCATGCTCAGCACCACGAACTGAAACAAGCCCGCCGCGTCGGCCGTTCTTCGTCGCGTGGTCTGCCAGGTCATGGTTCCGGCACAAGCGAGGTGGCGCCCTTCTATTGTGACCTAGAACACAAACTCCACCTACCAACAAGCCTAACAAGATTGTAACTTTGCTTCTCAAGTTCACGGCGCACATTGAGACAGCATTTATGCCTGCTATATACTCTATCCTTCTTTCTCAACAGTCGTGCCGTCTCGCTCAACACTACAGATATTAAAGGACGCCGCCCTCTCTTTTGGTTTTCTGTAGCGGCCCGATCGGTCCTCCGAAATAAATCTCCGACATGACACCGCAAATGCACACGCGTGCAACGGGAGAGTTACCGCAAAGATGTATTCTAGAATTAGCTAAGAGATAAACCCGCATCTGGGGTATATCTCGCTCCGATCATACGATCCTGCAGCTCTTTCGGCCTAAAATCCTAGAGGTGACGTCGCAGGTTGTATATTGGATGAAGTCATCGGGCTAAGGTTCGGGCAGTAATGCGGTCGTCTGCGTGTCATATGCAGGGCAATAGGAGGGAGGGAGGTAGCATCACGTGGGGTGAGCTTATCTGGTGCTGTCACATGTGATTGGGGACCGGGGAGAACGTAATTTGTATGAGAGACAATGCATTCGGAACTACAGAAACTATACGGTACGACTATGCGCGGAGGCATTCGCAACCGTGAAAACCGATAGACGCCAACGCCAAACCTATCCCAGGAGGGATTCAGAAACTTCTGACCCAGCAAACCCAAACGCCAAAACCACCCCAGGAGGTATCCAGTGACCTCTGACCCAGCCCAGGCAAACTTCATGAGGGTGCGCGTCACCCTTCACGACCCCAAGACCCCCCAAAAAAAAAACGCCAAAACCACCCCAGGAGGTCGTCGCATACTTCGCACGAATGCAGTGAAATGCTAGTACTCACCCAGGAGGTTGTCACCCTCAAACCCCCAAAAAGCCCTGCTCGCCTCCTCCTCCCTCTCCACCCTCTCCCTCTCCATCTCTTCCTGTGCCCATGTTGGGAACAGTACTTTCCTACACATAGGACAAGTGTTGCACCTCTCAAACCAAGTCATGATGCAGTTGGTGCCGAAAACGTGGCCGCAGGCGTTTAGCTTTGATACTGGTTGCTCTTCATTGGTGTGGTGGCTGTGAAGAGGTTTTGTGGATTTGAACCAACTTGACTTGAAGACAATTGTGTCGGCTGGATATAGTAAAGCCAATTCAAGGATTGACTTGTCGGCGGCGGTGAGCTTAGTGGCCGAGGGGTTCTCGCAGGCCAAGTCTTTGGTGCAGATAGTGCAGGTGTCTGTTTCACCGGCGGGCTGGAGGTAAGGAGACAGACCCGCGGCGATGAAGTCGGCCTTGCAGGCGTAGACTGGTGGGGTTGAAGACATGTTTGTTGTAGTGTGGTGGTGTTGTCTTGGTAGGTGTGGTGGTAGTGTTGGTAATAGTGTTTGAAGATAGTTGGGATGGTATGGTAAAACTTTCTTCGGATGTGGGAATGTGAATGTGATGGATGATGAAGAAAGGATAATGGAGAGAAGAGAGGGACAGAGCACTATTTATTGAGTTGGAAGCGTCTCTGTGACTCACACTGGACTTTAGGAATGAGTTGATTCTTGAGTTGGAAGGCTATCTGTGACCCACGCTGCCCGTTGGTAATGAGTGGGTTTGCTGACCTTGGAGACCTCAGGAGTGGTGGTTCTATACTATCAGGAGCGCATGATCGCGCATTGTTCGCCGGAGCGCCATGCCGAACCTTAGATTTTCAGATAGCTGTGACTCAAGTGCGATAAGGAACCTATGGAAAAAAGCTGCACTCATCACATGCCAGGGAAGCCTAGAAGTCTCTACTGCGCTGAGATTTTGCGGACTTTCGATTCGATACCAATGTGGGCTGCGAAATTTCTGTTCGCTTTCTTCCATGGACGAGGTACGGGCAAAAGTTCCGCATCAACAATGAACAAGACCTATTAGAAATACACCCACACTAGAGCTCCTCAAACTTCTTGCCCCGTGTTCTGCTCAAGGCAGCAGTAGCGCCAAATGCGATACGACCCACATCATCCGTGGGTTTCTCGTCCCCGACGAACCCTGGGCACGCAGCAATAGTCTGCTTCCACTGCTTGTCCCCCTCGGCAGCGCTCAGAATATCAGCATGTGCCGTACCAGCCTTGACAACGAATTCTGCACCCAACCAAGGCGTGAATGGCCTCTTCCAAAAGGCGTACAGGGCAAGCACCAGCAAACCGAGAAGGTGAAGGCCAAGGAAAACAGAGCCGGTGATGATTCCCCAAAGCGCGATATCAGTCTTCTTGGTTGGAACGCCCGGATCGAAATAAACTTCGCGTGAATTCCTATGTCCTCCCCAACTGTTGTATTGGCTTGGGTTCAGCCACTCTTTGTTGGCGAGAAAAGCGGCCACGGTGAGCGCCGCACGTGCAGAGTTTTCATTGTCAAAGTATGCGATTAGCTGTCTCACAGGTGCAAGGACTTCGTTCTCGCTCAGGTAGTTGTAGTCGCGGAGGCAGCCTCCTCTGGCAAAACTGAGAGGCATCATCCCGAGGCAATTGTCGCCGAAGTTCTCGTAATAAATATCTTCGACCTCAGGTCGATCCACAGTGAAGGCGGATGGATTTGAAACTCTTCTTTCAATGAAAGAGCCTTCGCCGAACAGAGCCAGTCCAATAGCAGTCAGCGGACCAATGTGTTCTCCAATGGCCTGCCTCACATTTCCTGCATAGGATTCGTTGGTTGCTCGTCTCTCCTCACTTCGACCGGACCCGCCGCGTGATTCGGTCCAAGTGTTCGTCAAGGATATTTCATCGAGCAACGGCCCGGCGCGATTCCCGTTCTTAGCATTGGGAAGTTCGAAGTAGCCCAATGTCGAACGGGCGCTTATTCTCCACATAACAGGATTACGTATCTCTGAACGCACCGAAATTGCGAGAAAAAGATCCTCGGTAATGTCCTGCCGGTTGTACGTAGCTTGCCAAGGTGTGTCAGAGATGTTGGCGGGTATGCAAGCCATCATATCGAACTTGCGATAATCATCATCTCCTCCATGGTATTCTACGAAGAATACGTCTTCTCTGTCGCGATCGCATTCGGTCGGCCACTCGGCGTCTGTCATGTTCCTGTATTCGATCGTCGTATTGAGGCGTGGTGCGTACTGAGGGTCAACGTGGACACCGGTGCTGAAGCCCGAGGGAACGGGTGAGAACCAGGTATCTGAGCTCATCTTATCAAGCTGAGAAAGACTCCTCCCGAAGTGGTTACAGTTGGCGGCCGCACTGGATGTATCGTAACACCTGTAGTTATCAATTCCATCCTCATCTACATCGATACTGTAAATATCCCGTCGATCCTCCTGTTCATCGATCCAGAGGTTAGGCTCATGTTCTGTTTCCGCGCGCGATTCTAGAATGCTACGGAGTCGAACAACTTTTGCGGCTTGATAGTCTTGGCTTTCACGACTGATTATAGCAGGTATATCGGCGACCCTACTCACACTGGACCGTGTGCTGCGAGTCGGTATACGTGTCGGAGTAATTCGGATAAACGTTGTCTGCAGAATGGGGAAGACAGCACCTGTATTTGAGTTAACGCCGGCTTCGTACCAAGATCTGGGCATGACTTACCCACTAAGGTCAATGCAAAGGCGAAGTACAGTGGGAGGCTTCCAACTTTGGACCACCTAGTCAACGTTCGTGGGCTGGTCCAGCCTTGGTCCGCAAGCGCCATAGTCTGACGGAGGTTCAACTTCGTTCTCGAGCTGCCGGCCTGGATATAGGCAGCTAGAGCCATGGAACATATCGCGGAAGTGATGGGAATCGTGAGTAGAGCGACTACCACTTGTAGGATCTGCGCCGCTCTGAGTGCCTTCTCGTGTCTAGACAAGGTAGCAAGCAGCTCGTCTATGGTGATTGGATACTTTTGCGCGTTCGTATAGTCTTGCTTGCTTCCGATCGGCCGGCTGCTCGCGAGACAAAGAACGATCCAGGTGAATAGGGCGAGTATCGCATAAAAGATGAAGACCATCAGCGGCCAGAACGAAGTGTGGAGAGTCCTGACAATGGGCTCGCGAATGGTCATGGAAGACGCTCTCGAAAGCCTCGACGTGTACATGGGCTCGTGAGTAGTTTCCGGGACCTTTGGTGCACTCGCGTTTGCTTGTCTGTTCTCCTCGCTGACGCTGTGCATCTCATGCGATTCTCGTTGCTCCATGTTTGGTGTGGCCGATCCGCCGTTAGGGAAGATGGGGATTCAAGATTCCCGCTGTAAGGGATGTAGCTTAGATTTATTAAAGCATGCGGATGCTATCGTCTGACAGCGCGTAACTGGACTGCGCCGCCTTGGCTCTTGTCTTGGCGTGCAGTTTGTATTGAAGTTGGGGCTAAGAGCGGGTGTCGGCACGAGGGGATGTGATCCTCCACCATCGTCGCACAGGGGCTTCAGAGGGAGGCATACTCGCACACCAAAAGCAGTGCCAAACCCTTGTGGACCTATCCAAAGGCCAGTCAGCAAGACATCATGGCGCAAACTCGCAGATGGTCGCCCGAAGCGTACACTTATCGCGGCAAGTGCTGGTGTCTTATTTCCACCTCAGCCTTACAGGGCTGACTTCAGGCCTCCCACCACACCGGTGAAGGGTCCAGGTCAAGTTAGATGTCGTATAACCGACATACAACTCATTTCTTCGCGACCACTACTACGCCACACACAACTCCGGTCCGTCCCCACCAGCCAAACATGGTTTTCGCGACACCAAAGCGTCCTAGGCCTAATCCTAACATCTTGAGCCTGTCGTCCTGCTCTTTCAGGAATGCCGCCAGTGGCGCGAACACATGTTCTGAGATGTCCGTGATGGTGATGGCTTCAGGGTTGTATCCTATCTGCTCCAGCCTCTTGCGGTACCCCTGTGGTGTGGTGAAGTTCGCCCAGGGCGCACCCATGACGGCAGTGAGAAGGCGAAGCGTCAATCTCTGGGCCCATGTAGCGGTAGGAGAGAGACATAGATCAAAGGCCATCCAGTTTGCTTCTAGCTCTGAGTGAGCGTACTCGATGATGGGCCAGCGTGAGGGGGCGAAGTGGTATGCTGTGTCTAGTGCCAACACCCAACGCTCTTCTGTATCGTCCTTCGCAAGCTGCAACTTGGTTTGCAGCTGCTTGTCCCAGGACTTGGGTTTCGACGCGTCGGCACAGAAGAGAGATATCGTGGGGTTTCCACCATCTTCTATCTCAGGAGATGCCGCCTTTGTCGTATTCTTCTTGAGTTCGTCAACTCGCTCCGAGGCGTATCGAGCCTGCACTGCATCTTTTGTGATGCCAATGTAATGTTGGTATGTGGCGCAGCGATCTCTTTCATCCCACCAGTCTTTGTCGCACGCTCGAATAGGTTCCTTGCTCATGAGATAGATGCTTTGGTCCCCGCATCCGAAGCCCAGATCTACCAAGGCTCTTCTCCGTGCTGCTGGGCCTTTGTCGCTTGAAAGGCCAGCCTCAGCAAGGATGATGTTCAGCATGTCTCGACAGGCTTCGCTTAATGTCGTTGAAGTGGTGGCGTTCTTCCAATACCCCATGTTCATCCACATGGCTGTGGGAAGCTGCAGATGTAGCCGCCCATGTTGCAAACCGTAAACTGAAGCATTGTCTTCTTGAGCCCCCCGCGCTCTCATCATCAGCCAGAACAGTAGGGTCGCCAGCCCTGCGCCGAATATCTGGGTAGCGGACATTTGTTTGGCGTGTGGCAGTGATTGGTGCGACGCAGAATCGGGTGCTTGTGGGATTTCGCGAGAAGCTTCAACGAGGCAATCACGCTAGCCGTTTCCGGCGAAAATGTATGACGAGACGCCATATGATACACACAACAGGAAGTCGCATCCTAGAACCCTCAATCCTGAATACTTTCACTTTCGGTCACACACTTTTGAATTGCCTACATCACTTGCTGATTCCTAGGATGCTGATGGGCATTTTGTCTTGCCCGGGTATCTACTCTGTTGGATGACCTGCAAGGCTACGAAAGGACTAAAGGCAAGAGGATGCCCCATGCGTCACAGTCCGAGTCCGAATACACTTGTCTTCATGAATTACTGATGCCTCCAGGGCACCGCAACGTCGAACGCATCAGCCACCCGCATGGCCGAGACGACGCAGCCTTCCAGGAGGACCATACCGTTCCAACACCAGCCGCCCACGAGCCACACATTGTCCTCGCCATTCCTCCACTGTGGCACTGACTTGTCATCTGTGTCGAAGTTCGAGCGCTTATCAAATATGGCATTGACGATGCGCTGGCTCTCCGGGCTGCGAAGAACGCGCGTGAACCGGCTCCGCTGAGCAACGCATTTCTCATCGAGAGGGGTGCATGGGCAAGTGGTCACTACCACGCCACATGGTTGGACATGATGCGATTCGGTCGTGTGCGTACCGGAGGTTGCCGTGTTGAGGTGGATGAGTTGCGCGCCTTTCTTATCGATCTGCCTGGCATCGCTTCCGTGGAGGACTGCCCAATCCGTATGCACCACACTTTCCACGACTGCAGTCGGTATGCGCTGCATGTGGTGTTGGAGGGGTCTGAAGATACGGCCGACGACGTCTGGGGCGACTGCAAGAATAACTTTGTCGAAGAATTCCGTTTTCTGAGCGTCTGACCCGCCCTGAGACCAGGTTATCCGAACGCCCTTTTCAGAGGGCTCGACGGCTGTGACGGTAGCCTCGAGAGTAACATCGATACCCTTGACCAGGCGGTCTTGTACCCCTCCTACGCCATCTGATACAGTATAGTGCGGTGCGCCATGGCTCCTCCGCTTGTACTCGATGATATCGCTGGCAGGAAAGGCGAGTAGCGACTCGTGTGGACAAGTGGATACGCTCGATAAGAGAGGGAGGAGGTAGTAGGTAACGAAGTAGGTCGGGCAATATGTGCGGTCCAGGTACTGCTGCATAGTCTCGCCTTGTCTAGGCTCGAAGAAGAAACAGCAGAGCGCGAACCACGAGTAGGCAAGCGTCAGGTATAGCCATTGCATCAGGTACGAGGACCTGCTAACTCTGCTCGGTCGGGGCGCCATCTGGTGGAGATTCGACGCATGTGTGAAGTACGACGTATCGCGGCGGCCAGTCGCCAAGGCCTCGGGGCTCCCATCGCGGCATTTTGCAAATTCGAAGAGGAAGGGCTGGGAGTTGTATTCGATGCGCAGGTAGTCGTACAGAGCCTTGAGGTTGTTGTAGTAGCCGCCCGCAAACGCGCGCATGGGCAGGTCCACGCGGGTGGAGGCGTCGGTGGCTGCATCGGGGATGGAGATGGAGGCGGCGTCTAGCGAAAGCGTTTTGCCCTAGAATTACTTTTGTGAGTACAGTCGCGGATAGAGTGGGTGTTAGGCGGCCTACCGACTCGAAGACCCTGACCGCGTATCGTTGACGGACATCGTGGAACAACAGGTTCGCGCTAACCAGTCCTGCCAGGCCTGAGCCTATTATTGCGACCTTCTCGCGTGGCTGCTCCATCTCAGGTAGTCGTGGACGTCAGCGGTGTGGAGCTATGGTGTTGTTGATATTTAGGGCATGACGTGCAAATCGTCGCATGTCCTCGGCTGCTGGCCCGCAGCAGTCTCAGAACAGGCATCGTCCGTCTCTACCCAATTTGATAGCAGACATCAATTGGCGACGGCATCGTCGCCGAGGCTAGGCTTAAATGAAGCAAGGTACATGGAGGAACATGTGCCCGTCGGAGCGTCGCGCGTCCTGTCTTGATGTCATCCTTTAGATTGGGCGTCTTGATTGGTTGAGGGAATATCACCGACGCGTCCCTTGCATGCGACATCCAGCAGTGCACGCGATATGTACGACCCTAGACTCTAGAACACCACTTTCCTGTAGACGTTGTAGATATCCTTTCTTGATTGATCGTGGAAATGGCAGGCACCGACAAGCTTCCCGTGATGCGAGTCGCCGTCATTGGGGCTGGGTACGCCACCCTCTCAACAAAATTATCACATGCTAACACCTTAGAAGCCCGGGCGGATTGACAACTTTAAAGACATTGCTAGAGGCGTCGACACCTGAGCGACCGATAGAGGCTGTTTTGTTCGAGGCGTAGGCATACTCCACCCGACCCGAGCGGGTTTACCAGCACATGACCTGACATCCTCCAGCGAAGACAACATCGGAGGTACATTCCACTACCGTGCTTATGAGAATGCTGAGCTGGTATCCTCAAAGCAATTGACGACCTTCTCCGACCATCGCTTCCCTGTGTCAGCACCAGACCACATTTCGCTCCCACAATATGTCGGCTACTTGCAGGACTATGTGGACAAATTTGACCTACAGCCGCTCATGAAGATGGGCTGCAGGGTCAACAAGATCGAGCCTATATCGAAGTCGATCGATCGGAAGTGGAAGCACCGTGTCAGATACGTCGACAAGAACAGCGATGGGGAGGAGCGCGCTTTCGATTGTTCACACGTCGCTGTCTGCACTGGATTGCATGTCGAGCCCAACATTCCGAACATCCCGGGAATTGAGAATGTTAAGGGAGAGGCATTCCACTCTTCGCAGTATAAGAAGCGAGCACAGCTGACAGGCAAAGATGTGCTCATCATGGGCTGTGGAGAGACTGCCATGGGTATGCTATACGCTGACGGAAACATGAGCACAGGCTAACATGCGTAGATATCGCTTACGAAGCTATGAAGGGCGACGCAAACTCAGTCACCATGTGCTTCAGAACGGGCTTCCTTTCCTTCCCCAAAGCGCTTTCGCGTTTCAAGGTCTTCGGCAAGCAGTTCAAAGGAGGCCTGCCTATTGACGGTCTCATCACCAATCTCTTCGAGACGGCCTACGTGCATCGCGCCATAGCTGCGAGTCGCTTCCGTTGGTTTGTATCGGACTTTGTCATCAAGCGTGTGTTGTGGTTCTTGACTGGCACACAGGCGGGCATGAAGTGAGCTTCCCCCCAGGTACGGCAAGCGAGCATACACTGACCTCATATAGTCAGCATGTTGGTGCATTACCACACGACAGACTGGGCAGAGCTTTCGTCTTCCTAAACAAGAGCAGCAAAGCGATGCCATATCTAAACCGGCCCTATAAAGAGAGCCACCCTCTCGCGTTCCTCGGCAACGGTTACGTAGACCCACCCGAAGACGCACAGTCGAAGAAATGGGTAGACACATGCACATTCCCGGAGCGCATAGACGAGACCGGGAGAGTGATATTCGAGAAGCGCCCCGACCGTAAAGACTGGAGACGCATGAAGGACACGGAGGTACGACCAAACTGCGTAGTCTATTGCACCGGCTACAAGCAGTCGTTCTACTTCCTTGATCCATCATACCCCACAGCAGCCGATGCCACCATTCGCAACATCGTCTCGCCTACAGATCCTAGCATATCCTTCATCGGGTTTGTACGACCTGGTGTTGGCGCCATTCCGCCCATCGCTGAACAACAGGCCATGTGGTGGACAGCGCTCATCACCAATCAAATGGCCATGCCTACAGATCCCCCGCACTACCATCTCTTGGCTAAAGAGACCTCACGCATCAAGTACGGTGTTGACCATAGCGCATACATGAGCACTCTCGCGAAAGACTTTGGTGGCGCTCCTGGGTTGCGGGAACTGTACATGGCGCACGGGTTGAAGGTGCTCCTGGTCTACTGCTTTGGTGCGAGCTTCGTAACTTTTTACAGGCTTGTCGGACCTTTTAAAAGCGACGTTGCTCCTAGCATCACGAAGACTGAGTTGGCGGAGACTATTCTTCGCAGAGGCATTCTCGGCAATTTGTTCTTCGGGGTAAGCAATAAGCAAGCGCATTCTCGTAGTTTGCGTATTAACGGCTTCGCAGGTGATACCAATGCTCTTCTATGGGTTGATCAACTCCACGGCCTGGATGCTCGAGATGGTGGGTCTTATTCCGGAGGAGAAGCCGGTTGTTTGAGAACGGCGTGGCATTCAAGTCATTGGAATTTATCTCGTTGGCATGAAGATAGCAGAGTTCATCGGGGGTGGGGGTGGGGGTAACAGGGGGTGGGAGATATTCGGTAACGGTGTTTCATCAGGTTGTTCGTCTGAAATGGTCGTCTCTATATGCCGTGGGTGTGCATGGAGACGGCCACTTCAGACGAACAGCCTGACGAAACACCGTTACCGAATATCTCCCATCCCTAATGTGCACAACCAAAGTACCCTCGCGAAAAGACCCCTTGGGCTCGAGCGCGAAAGACAGAGAAGAGTTCATCGACGAAAGTGAATGAAATGTAAAACTGTTTGCAATCGTATGATCATCTTCATTACGGTGCTGACCGAGGGTATCTCTCAAACCATGTCTAACTAGCAAATAGAAAACCACCTACGACGAGTTACTGTTGTCCGCGCACGAGAAAGCCGAATCAATCGACCCATCCTTGTACGCGTCCATGATCTGGACAATGACACCGTACGTACCGCCGATCGTCAGGAAGACTGAAATACCGATCAAGATAACATGCAGCGCATACATGATCTTCTGCCACCAGTTCCCCTTCCAGTAGCCCTGGTGATCGTAAATCCAAAGCCACCCAGGCAGACCCAGCGCCAACGGCGCAAACGCCACACTACCCGCCAGACTAAGCAGATAGTTGAAGATGGGCACGCCAGACGCGATGAGGAAGCTGACAACCGTCATACCCGTGACGCATCCCAACCACGTACCCCAATGAACCGGCGAGTTAGCCTGAAGATGTTTCGAGTTCCTCAGTATGCGAACGAAGATGTATTTCGCACTAACATGCACATATAACGCGCCACTAACACAAAGTCCAATAAGACCAATGCCGTACGCGACTTTCTTCACCATGGGTCCTGCGCTGCCGAGAGAAGGCGACGCAACCCACTTCCCGCACCACTTGTACACGACAAGGCTGAAGGAGAGGTACGCGGCGGTGACAAGGCCCATGCACCAGTTTACAGCTTTGCTGAATTCGCGCGGGTTGCGCATCTCGGACATGACGGGGAGGAAGGCGGAGGTGCCGGCGCCGGAACAGAAGATTGTGCTGGCGGCTGTGATGCCTGCGGCGAAGGTGGGGTGACCGATTACGTGGTAGCCGAATTCGTAGGGCCCGGATTGGGGGGCTGCGGCGGGGCGGTCGAGGGTTGTTACTCCGACGCTGTTGGGATGGGTTAGATATGTGGCTTTGAAGGGCTGAAGAGTGTTGGACTTACACAACGATAAACACAGCGACGAAAACAGAAATGAATCCCGCCCACGTAACCCAAGCGATCTTCTCGAACTTGCGTACACTCGCACATGTACCCACCATGATTGCCGCGATGATGGAAAAGTAGTTTGTGCAGAGGGAGTGGTTGGATAGCGCGTTGAGTGCTGTCGATACACCCACTATACCCGATGCCGCGACGATGATGAACGCAACGAGGAAGAGGACACCAGTGATCTCTTTGACGATGCGGCCACCGACTAGCTGGCCCATGTCGGCGATGGAATGACAGCCTGGGTGGTTGTTTCGGAATTGGCCTTGGACGAGGGCGCACCAAGTGTTGAGAGCTTGCCAGCCGAGAACGTTGATGGCGCCGGGGAAGGCGCCGAGCGTGTACATTGCGCTGGGGATTGTAAGGACTCCTGTCGCGAAGATGACTACATATCGATTGTTGTTAGCGGGATGGTCGTGGATTGGATAGCGACGTTACTCACGCTTCAAGAAGATGACTGCGGTGTGAACCCAAGACACCGTTCTGAAGTCCTCATATCCCTCTCCTCGCTTGAAGATCTCGCCATCGTTCTCGAGGTCAACCTTTCCGTTGATACTCTCTGAGCTGGTACTCGGTGCGGGCGCAATGACATCGTCTTGCTTTTCAGCCGACATGATGGCGATGTCGTCAGGTAGTTGTGCTGTCGACCCGGATTGAGTAACGAACAGTTGTTCAACACTTCAAGTATCGGTACTTGGGTCACTGTATATATATCCGTTCATGTACGCATGCCACGCAACGGCCCTATCCTTGCCAGATGCAGGTGCCCTGGTAGAACGTTGATAACCCGCGTGGTAATCAGCACGCCAACGCGGTATCTCTCAGAATCCGGGGCAGGAGTGGATCTTGCCAGCCCGCTCTGCCCCGTTGTTTTGGAGGTTGATAGTGGCGAGAGAGCGGTGCGGGCGTCTCCATCGGCTACGCGATTCAGGCGCAGGGGTGCCTCCAATGGTTACCCCGGTTTGGGGGAAGGGTCGCCTGGGGATCATCGTTACTCCAACTGATTACGGAGATGAGCAGCGGAGGATTCGGTGCGGCGCGTGGATGCTTCGTGGCTTGGGAGGGGGTTGGAGGCGGTCGATATGCCCGATTGCGGGTGGGGTGTTGTTAGCGTTCACCCTGCAGTGGCTCGTTTGGCAGTTGCCGGTGGCTGCGTATGACGGCGGTTCCTGCGCGGGGCTTCTAGAACGGCGTTCATGCGGAGCTAGGTGGCGCATGTTCGTGATCTGACTATATTGTAGATGCAACGCACTAGTGGTGATGTTGTCTCTGCCGTGCTAGTGACAGCTAGCTCGTAGTTCGCATTAGGCACTGCTGCGTTGCGTCTTCGCTACCATCTGCAATGGACGATCTCCGGAAAAAGCAAAGTCGGAAAATAAAAAATGTCATCAAATTGTTTAGTTAATCGGGGACTCCTTCAGCTTGAGTCCCGCTTCAGATGGCATGAGCGCTCCCTCGGGCGGCGGGTTCTTCTTTCTGAACTCATCCGCCATCTCCTCCATCGTCACAAACTCAACGCCTTCATGCTTCTTGAAGTGCTCGATCAACCTCTCATGCATCAGCAGCAGATGTGGCCGCCCAGATACATCAGGGTGAATTGTGATGGGCTGCAGGAGTGTTAGACGAGTTCTTCAGGCAGTTCGGGATACTTACAAAGATGAACTCGTCGTATTCGCGGTAGAAGTAGTCGAAATGGTCCCTCCATAGGTCCTCGGTATCTCGCGCATTCACGAAACCATGGCTGTTCTTCGAAGCCTTGATGAACATGTGAGGTGGCAGGTCCTAGCATTCAGTGTGAGTAATGTGTTATATGCTTGTAGCATTCATACTTACATCGAGGTACCAGTTGGCAGGAATCTCAACTAGACCAGTCTGTTGGCCTGCAACGAGTGGCTTCATCCAGTCCTTGGCCTTCTTATTGTAGTCGATCTTGGTCCAGGTATCTCCGGTTCTCAAATAGTAAGGTTGACAGTCGTGGTGGCTCATGCTGTGATCGTACTCAATACCGTATGAGAGCAGCAGTTCGGCACCTTCGCGGCTTGTTTCCCACCTAACGAAATTGTCAGCGTACCGTCTGCAGCGGTGATTCTCGAAACATTACCATGGCGCAACACTTCCTCGAGGAGGCTTGCCAGCAAACTCAGTCAACATGCGGTACGTCTTGTCTAGCACGTGGTGTTGCTGTTCTAAGCTCATATCGGAGGGGTTCTCGTGACTGTAACCGTGAAGGCCTATCTCATGCCCAGCATCGCGTACTGCTGCCATGTCTTCCGGAAATGTCTCCAGACTATGACCCGGAATGAACCATGTGGTCTTGATGTCGTACTTCTTGAACATCTTCAAGAGGCGCTGCGTACCAACCGTGCCAGCGAACAGACCACGCGATATGTCGCTGGTGCTGTCTTCGCCGCCATACGACCCGAGCCATCCACATACCGCATCTACATCAACACCGTACGAGATGAGAACGCGCTTCTTGCCCATGATAGCTGTAGTGTGAGAGTGATGATGGTCTGTTGATGCACTTGATCAGATCAAATGAGGAGCTGTCAGTCGGATGGATTCGTGTGGGAACAGTCAGACCGAACTGCCCACACGGGACTACTTCCTCTTAATGCCATGATGCCGAACCTGAGAGCTATGGCGGGGTAAGTGGGATGTAATGATGCTGGACCGACGGCGCGCTTGTCTATTTCGTCATTGGATGCGCCAGCTGCCGCTGCCCCTCGCTTGGCCTTATCGTCGACCCCAACCACCTCCAACTCTCTCAAGCTCATCTCCAACAACTTCCGAAAACGGTCCTACACTCTCCAAGACGCGTTCGCATCAAGTCACGATGACGATAAGCAAGGTATTGAGTGTAATAACGCAGTGCGCACCTTTGAGTGTATCCATGTTCAATCATGGACATGCCTGATAAGATGCGCGCCGCACAGATTGTAGAGGTATGGTGACGTCATAAAATCCTTGAGATTACTTCTAACAAAGTCTATCAGTATGAGAAACCGTATCAATTGTGTGAGCGAGCTGTGCCTCGATGCGGAGACAATGATCTTCTCGTCGAAGTTTACGCAGCCGGCTTCTGTCATTCAGATCTCCAGGTCTGGAATGGCCAATTTCCGGCGGCGCTTCCCATGATACCATCGCACGAGCCGGCTGGAAAGATTGTACAGATTGGCGCGAAAGTGCAAGGCTCATGGAAAGTTGGAGATCGCGTTGGCGTTCTCAACTACAAGAATGCTTGTGGACAATGCGCAGGATGTCGACAGCATGGAAGACGAGCGAAACGTCCTGATCCTCGCTTCTGCCAGAGCAGAATTGTCGCTGGCTTCAAACACGACGGCGCATTCGCAGACTACATGCTGGCAGATCCTAACACCACTGTGCATCTCCCTGATGGAGTTTCTTTCGAACAGGGAGCGCCGTTGATGTGTGCTGGTGTAGGTCCATCTCTTGTCGACTTCGCTCGCACGTCATCATTGCTAACAGCATGAAAAGGCGACGGTATGGGGCGCGTTGCGAAAGCTGAGTCCCCAGATTCAGCCAGGTGATGCCGTAGCCATAGTAGGTATTGGAGGGCTTGGGCAGCTTGGAATACAATTTGCCAAAGCCCTTGGTTACCGGACGATAGCCATGGACAACCGTGAACAAGGCCGTCGGCTTGCGCTCGACTTGCCCGACAACCTGAGACCTGATCTAGTCATGGACTCAAGCGCTAAGAATGCCGAAGAGAAGATACTAGAGTTTACTTCAGGCGAAGGTCTCGCGGGCATCGTAGTATGCACAGATTCGATACCAGCCAACGCGTGGTGTCTTCAGCAACTGGGCAACGGCGGTGTTATGGTCCCGCTAGGTCTACCAAAAGACAGCTGGAAGTTTGACTCTGAAGCTATGGTATTCCATGAGCTCACCATAAAAGGCAGCTATGTCGCTAGTGCGGAGGAAGTTGAGTCCATGCTCAAGGTCGTAGCCAAGCACGGCATCTCGTCTCATTTGACCGTGCTGAGCTTTACGGAGATACCCAGTCTCATAGAAAGATACCAGCATGCATCTATGAAAGGCCGACTAGTAATCAATATGAAAGGATAAGCCTCCATTCGTCCGGGGATGAGCTTGTTCTTATGAGCAGACTTAGAATCTTACGTGTCTTTTACCTGTCTTTTGGACTTTGGTCTGACATTATGAAACTTGCAATGCAGACCCTCAAAAACGCGAGGTTCTGGGTACTTTCTGGTACGTTATCGAATCGAGTTCGCCACGAGTTGGGGTCATTTGGAGAGCCTCAGGCGTGATCTCTTAGTTTGTTTTGTGGGACCGCCGACCCACTTGCTCACCATTGGTCAAACGGTACGTAAGGACATCCCATCTACCTGAATATGGTCAAAGTCTTGCGGCAGAGTATACCGTTCAGCAAATTCTTATATTGACTGTAGGTATCGTAGCATCCAATTCACACTGCCGCTGCACCTACGTAACCATCATGTCTGTCTTTTTCGATTCGCCTCTAAGGTCAGTACCAAACACTTTACTGTTCAAATCGAGAGTGTGCGCATATTGACGGTACTTCAGTGAGGATCTTGTACGGGTTGGGGACGCAGAATCAGTACTACAAAGCATTGGCATCAATAATGGCATACCAGCACACGAGTCTCGGGACTACCACCAATTACTAGCGGCGGTCCACGATGTGGCGGAGCATGTACTTCAACTTCCCGACTATACAGCACATACCGATACCGAAAGATATCCACGAGGACGAATCCACCGACCATCAGCAGAAGAGCAAGATTTCGGCAATGCTTGGGCGCATAAGTTCCAAATACGTGGCAACCCACAAGGACAATTCCTCCAAGGAAAGACTGTATGTCTCAAAGACAACATTGCAGTAGCCGGAGTACCGCAGTTCTTCGGAACAGACGCCATCCCTGCATGGACACCCGATTCCGACGCCACCGTAGTTACCCGGACGTTAGATGCTGGTGCTGACATCGTGGGAACGACCATATGCGAAAACTTCTGCAACTCCACATCGTCATTCACTTCAGCGCAAGGTACCGTTCACAACCCGTATGCGAGAGGGTACTCTGCTGGCGGCAGTACGTCTGGTGGCTGTGCAGTAGTCGGCGGCGGTTTGGTAGACATCGCAATTGGTGCCGACCAAGGCGGCAGTATTCGCGTTCCATCGTCATTTTGTGGGTGTAAGTACACCATGACTGTTGCGTATCGCGCCATGATGTAGTGCGAAGCTGACAATCTACACAAGGTGTTGGACTAAAGCCAACGCATGGCCTTGTTCCCTACACTGGTATATCCAGTGGCGACGCTGTCAGTGATCATGCTGGGCCCATAGCAAGATCAGTACGCGACGTTGCTTTGTGTCTTGACGCAATCGGCGGAAGGGATGACTATGATGACCGTACGCTTGGTGCGCCAACCCATGGGTTTAAGCAGTACACAAAACGTCTCCAGAGCTCGGTCGCAGGAATGAAGATTGGTGTTCTCAAAGAAGGCTTTGAGCACCGCCTCGTCAACGAAGACGTCAAATCAACCGTGGAAAAAGCCGTTCAGTCCTTTGAGCAACTGGGTGCTACCGTCGAAGAGGTCTCATTACCCCTTCACCTAGAAGGGCCGGCCATTTGGACCATCCAACAGCGGATCGCAGGTACTTTCAGCATGTTAGGATACGCCCACGGTCGGAGAGGACTATTCTCAACAGCCTACGAAGCAGCGCGACAACCATGGACGAACGAAACATTCCAAAAGCTTTTTCCATCTACGAAGAATACTATGATCAACGGCCTCTCGCTGATGCAAAATTACCCGGGCCTTTACGCGAAAACCATGAATGTGGCCCAACAGCTCCGCGACGCGTATGAGAAGTTATTCCAGGAGTACGACCTTATCATTATGCCGACAACGCCTTTCGTAGCACCACCCAACATAGATTGGAAGCGCGGGGAGGATGCGCCGATAGACGCGCTGAAGCCAAGCATGGGCATCACCATCAACACCGCTATTTTCGATGTAACGGGGCATCCGGCCATGTCACTTCCCGTAGGTTTTGCTCCTTCGGGTGTTGATTCTGAGGTCAGCTTGCCGGTTGGTATGCAGTTGGTCGGTGGTCTTTGGCAGGAACAGAAAATACTAAATGCGGCTTTTGCCTGGGAGTCAGCGAACGACTGGAAACAAATCGGCGTGCGACAAGATCAAGAGTCGAAGCATGCTACGAAGCTGTAGAATATGTCATCATTAGAAACATTGGAATATCAGCTTCGCTGATCATGCGATTTATACCATCATTGCGATATCATTCAATCAATTTATCGTGTAGCCACCATCTACAACCAATGCATGCCCTTGGATGAAAGACGACTCTGCCGAACACAAGAAAAGCACTGCATCAGCGACTTCATCTGGTGTGCCCATCCTCTTCATAGGCGCTATCTCGATAGCCGGCTTCAAGGCTTCCACCATAGCTGGCGATGTTGTAGTCATGGGTGTCTCGATAACACCGGGACAAACGCAATTTATGCGTATGCCATCATCGGAGTAGTCGATAGCATTCGCGCGTGTCATGTTGATGATGGCGCCTTTTGAAGCGCAGTATGCCGCTGCAATGCTCATTAGCAGAGGTTTTGCATTTCACGAAACGGTGAACGTACCAGCACCCGGCCTCGCTACGATGCCGAGCTGACTAGCGATATTGACAATAGAACCCCTCTGCTTGGGATGCTGATCAAGAGGCTGCTGCTTCAACATGTTCCTCAGCTGCGCACGGCAACTAAGCCATGATCCCTTATAGTTGATAGCATTGAGTCGATCAAAATGTTCGGTCGTCATCTCTACAGCTTTGATAACATCGCCACCGAGCACGCCAGCGCAATTGACTCCATAGTCGAGCCTCTTGAACTTGGAAAAAGTCTCATCGTTGAATGAGTCGACGAACTTCTCATCAGCGATGTCGCCAGCTCGCTGGAAGACCTGAGCGGAAGGGTTGATGCTCAGGATAGAGTCCCTGGTCTGCTCGAGCGTCTTCGGGTTGATGTCGGTGATGGCGATTCGCGAACAGCCTGAACGGGCGAAACCCTTGGCTACTGCGGCGCCAATGCCTGTTCACTATGAGCATGCTATAACAACATTGCATGAAATACAACCCACCAGTTCCTCCAGCGCCTGTGATGACGGCTACACCTGGGAGTAATCTTGCAAGTGATGCCATATCGCTATCATGTGGCGGTGAAAGCGTGATCTACCAAGATACGCGCTCACTGATTGACTTGAGGCACGCATGAATGCACTCAAGATTTGTTAAGGGATAGCGTACCGACGCGACGTTCTGCCGGCGATACGTTCGGCGGCCATCCCGTCGAGTTCCGCTATCTTGGAGTAAGCGTTCCACCTACTCCGAAGATACGCCTTGCGCTAACCACGGCGCTATTTACCCCGCAGACCTAATTGGCCGAGGGCAAAACCTTGAAGTAAAGACCAAGACCCACCTCGCTCCAATTCACCTCCAACTCCAACAATTCTCACACCACATGCACGGACTCGCTCACGTTTGTACCCATTGCTCCAGGAGCTTCAAGCGAGCAGAGCATCTGATTCGCCATACTCGTACACGTTCGTGCCTTCAACTAAGTGACTCCACGATGAGGGCGTCGTCAGAACTGATGTCAGCATAGATACCAGAGAGAAGCCGTACTCGTGTCGATGCGGACAAGCGTTTACACGACGTGACCTGCTTACTAGACATTGGCGCATCACGCACCATGCTGGCAATCCTGATGCAGAGTCGACAACGTCGACTGAAACAGCGACGACAATAGACGCACCCGCTTTGAACGTCCCCAGCGCTGGGGCCGTCGAGGCGCATCTCGTCCCGCAGGTCCACGCAAGTCAGCTTGATTTGCAACATCCTCCGCCAACGTACCAGGAACTCCAGCCGGCGCCGCCATATCGCGACGAAGGGTTTGAAGATTTCCGTGACTTTGTAAACTTCATCGACGGTGTTGGACTATCCGCTCAATGGACGCCTGAGTACGATTTTGACTGGATGCGACTAGGAGAACCTCGTCAGGAATCTCGGCGACACTCCCGAGAGCCAGAAAATCAGCCCTCCTCCCCGGGCCCAGAGGACATCGGCACGCCTTTCAGCACGTGGTTACCATCAGCTCCAGCTGACGATGAGGTCCATTTGCGATCCAATGCGCAGGATGGCGAAAAGAGAACGAGGAACGGGACATACAATGTAACGGATGAGCACCGAAACTTCCTGGTATCCCTGCTTGAGAGCTTTGCTCCTCCTATCGCCGACTTCCAGATCCCTTCCCGACATACGCTTACTAGGTATATTACCGCGTTCTTTGGTGGCTTTCATTCGCACTTCCCGTTCATACATGCGCCAACTTACAAACCGTCATGTTCGCCTCTGGAGTTGACACTGGCCATGTGTGCAGCTGGTGCACAGTATTGCTTTGAGCGAAGAAGCTCCGAACGTCTCTTTCGCGTATCGAAAGCCATTGTCTTCGAACGCCTGCGGCAGGAAGAGTCGCACTTCGGCCCACAAACTCTTTCCTTCATCGCTTCTACGAACATATGCTCGCCGGAAGCGCATTTCATTAGCAGACGCACAGGACCGTGGGCGCCTTTGGATATGGCGAAGACCCTTCTTATCCTAGTAGGGTTTGCGACGTGGGAAAGAAAAGATCTACTCCAGCAAGCCTTTGCGCTTAGGGGCCTGCTAGTGCAGTCGCTTCGAGATATTGGTCTCAAGGAAGAAGAGCCGCCCAGGAACATATCGACCTCTAGAGCAGCAATGTGGGATAACTGGGTACAGCGCGAATCGTCCAGGCGAACCAAGCTGGTGGCCTTTTGTTACATAAACGTGCATAGTATTGCATACAACATTCACCCTCTGCTTTGGAGTAGCGAGCTTCATCTGCGACTTCCTTGCTGTACGCAAGAGTGGCAAGCCAACAGCGCCGCGCAGTGGGCTGCGCTACAACGCGATGGACGAGAAGACCACATGCCTTTCCAACAAGCGTTATCGATACTGTTGCAAGGGACGACGAATCAAGGTAGGCTGCTCCACCGGAAGAAACATCGAACGTGTATTGACATGCTTCAGAACTGGTGCACCCTATCCCGAGCCCGATCGGCAACTACATCCTTCTCCATGCACTGCTCCAACGGATCCACGTGGTCAGGGAGCTCTCCTTCCCCGCCACATCACCTGCAACAATCTCATCTGCAGAGCTACAAGTGATCAGCCGCGCTCTCCGTGCATGGACTTCACTCTGGCAACAGACTCCAGAATCAATGCTCGATCCCAACAACGAAAGCGGACCCATCCCTTTCACATCAAGCGCATTGTTGGTGGTGGCTTACGTGCGGCTTTCGCTCGACATAGGACCTTACCGCCATCTAGAGTCGCGCGACACCGACGTCATCGCCAACGGCTTAGCGAATCTTCCAGACATCGAGCGCAACGACAATATACTATCAGCTCTGTTGTATTCAACCCATGCACTCAGTATACCCGTCAGGTTAGGTATCGACAGGGTCGCGCGCAGTCAAGCATTCTTCTGGAGCGTTCAGCATGCCATATCGAGCTTCGAGTGCGCAATCTTCCTCGGTAAATGGCTATGCTCTATTCCTCGTCCATTCCGCGAGGAGTCCTTGTCGCGATCTGAGCATCGCATTCTTCACTGGGTTCGCTGTATCATCAAGGAAGCATATGCGGTGATTGACTTTGAGGATGCTGAAGAGACTGATGGTTTCTTGACAGTACCCAGCGAGCCCTTTGCGCTTGGTCTGGCTGTGCTGAATATTTGGTCAAGGTTCTTTCGCGGTAACACGCAGTGGCAGTTTGTTGTCAATCTCGGGTTGAGCTTAGAGAAATATATTGCCAAGCTTGCTTGAACTACATGTTTATTCGATACTCAAAGCCCCTCAGACCTTATCATTATGCATCTTCTCATCATGAGCCTTGACACTTTCCATAACCTCGCCATCCCCATCAGCAAAAGCCCTATCACCGAATGCAATGGCAATCTCCTCAAGCGAATGGTTCGCTGTCTCAACATAGTAGAAGTGCGCCAGGCCTGCGGAGAAGAGACAGAACCCTGCGATGACAAGGTAGAAGTAGCCACCAATACCTGCAAAAGCGTCCGGCGAAACCATGCCGATGATGAAGTTGAATACCCAGTTGGACGTCGTCGCGAGCGCCATGCCCTTGCTGCGGCTACGGAGCGGGAAGATCTCCGCGGGTAGCAGCCACGGCATCGGGCCCCAGGTGAAACCATAGACGATGTTGTATAGCATGATAAAAGCGAACTGTCCGTTTGCGCGGGTCATAATGGGCATGGAAGCTTCCGTGAAGGCGCAGACGATGCCGAGAAGAGCGGCCATGAGGACACCGCCAAGGATGAGGAGCGGCTTGCGGCCCCAGCGGTCGGCTAGCCACCAGGTTGCGACAGTGGCTGCGGTGTAAGGGAGCGCGTTCGCGGCGGTGTAGAGAAGGGACTTCTCGTCTGAGAACCCCGCGCTGGAGAGGGTGGAGGGGAGGTAGAAGGATATGATGTTTATGCCGTTTAGCTGGGCGAACATTTGCACTGTCACGCCGACGATTGTGCGTTTGCGGTAGCGGGTGAACATTTCCATCCAGCCAGCTTTGCCGAGTTCAGCTTCGTATACGACGGCCTCTTGGATCTCGAGAAAGACCTTTTGTACGTGCGGGGCGTCGGTATCGCCGCTCGAATGGAGGTCTGCGACTGTTTGAAGGCTTTCTTGCATGAAACCGTTGTTGGCTAACCATCTTGGAGTTTCCGGGAGGAAGAATGACATGACCACCAAGATGAACGAGAGGATGATCTGGATGATGAAGGGCCCCTGCCAAGATAGCGCGTCCGGAAGCATGAAGTGGAAGCCGTAGTCAACCCAGCACGACAACATGTACCCTGCAATCAAGCATGTGTATTCGATGCCGACCATGAGACCTCGAGCGTGGGGTGCCGCAATTTCAGTTTGGATGATGGGGACTGTCATGGACAAGAAGCCGACTCCGAAGCCCTGGATCGTACGTCCGACGACGAAAGTTGCGAAACCTGGAGCGAAGATCTGGATAAAGGCGGAGAGGAAGTAGATGAGACCACCGAGACGGACAGTCCGCTTGCGACCGATCATGTCTCCAAGGCGTCCGGCGATGAGAGCACCCACAGCAGCGGAGGCTTGCAGGCAGGCAACGGAGATTCCCGTGATGGAAGGATTCACGGCTGCTGTACTGCCATCTGCGCCACCGTAGTCGCTGAAGAAGCGTCTGACAAATACGGGGTTGACCAGTAGGCCAGACATGATGCCTAGTGGTGTCAGTGTTGTTGGTCAACATGCGAGTACCCGAACGCACCTGAGTTGTAACCAAACAAGGCATCACCGAGACTGCCAAAGCCACATGTTGCAAATAACAACGCCTTGCCCTTGATGGGATACCTAGCCGTGATCTTCTTTGGCTTTAGCCTGCTTTCAAGCCATCCCTGTTCAGCAGCGACCTGTCCAGCTATTTGCGAGGCACGTTGCTGGATGTTGGCGCTCTGACTGGCAACCGAATTACTGCGGGCAGCCATGTTTTCGACCAGTGTAGAGAAAGATAAGAGTAGAGAAGTAGTGCGTGCTATGGAGCACACGGAGGAGATGCGGTGGGATGATGGAGAAATCTGGGGAAGCCTGACAGCTTTATCGTCCCCAGATTTTCGCAGTGGAGCGCATTCGGCATCATCGCGTGTAGTCAGGCCATGTTACGGTTCCGGTCCTAACGTTGGCCCTGCAGCGACGAAATTTGGTCGGCATATGCTAGTGTGTTTCTCGGGAAGTTGATCAACGCTGTAGCGCTAAGGGATGCTTTACCAGCCAATCAGAAGCGCTCTTCTCACGAGCCGCGGAACCGGTGCTGGGGCAGAAAACTCCGGGCTGGCGGCTCCGACTCGTGCACATCGGAAGGTCAGCAGCCTGCATGAGCCGCCGGAACCGTACTGCAGTCGCTCTCACACTTGGGTAAGAACGCCTGGCCGGTGATATAGTCAGGGCCTCAAGATAGAGACATCAATTCTAATCATTGCTGTACACTGTTTTTCACAGTCATGTCTTTAGCTGATGTTCAAGAACCCAAGAATTCCTCTGGATCTTTGACGTCGCCTGAGAACCGACTCACAGCGCCAATGAACACGTCCTTCATCCTGAGCCCATCGAGGCAGTTCTCATACGAGGATGGGCCAGTTCCGAGTCTTCCAACTCCTAGGTATGTTCGCGTAAGGATTGTGGCTACCGGTCTTTGTGGTTCTGACGTACGTATCGCCCGCTGTGGTCTGCAGTGTGTTCGTCAACGTTGACGGCGATCTAGGTACATTACTGGCAATTTGGGCGCATAGGCAGGTATGTAGTCGAAAGTCCAATCACCCTCGGTCATGAGTCTGCTGGTATTGTCGATGCTTGCGGATCAGATGTCAAAGGGCTGTCCGTGGGCGATCGCGTCGCATTGGAACCTGGCGTAGGATGCAACACCTGCGAGACATGTCGAAGCGGCCGATATAACCTATGCGAATCGATGCAGTTCGCTGCTACCCCTCCCTACAATGGCACGTTATCGACCTTCTACTGCCTACCCGAAGAGTGCTGCTACAAGCTGCCGTCACACATATCCTTCCGTGAAGGTGCCCTCGTGGAGCCGCTAAGCATAGCTGTGCATTGTTGCGGACTCGCCGGGAGTCTTCAGGGCAGGTCTGTAGCGGTATTCGGGGCTGGGCCTATAGGCTTGCTGTGTTGCGCTGTGGCACAGGCTTTCGGCGCTGCGAAAGTCGTGGTTATTGACGCAGTGGCTCCCAGGCTGAGCTTTGCGACCGACTTCGGTGCCGACGACGTATACATGATGGAAGCTGGGTTTCCAGAAACGAATGCTCAGAAAGTTTTGGAGAAGGCTGGGCTGGATGCAGGGTTTGATGTTGTGATCGATGCAACAGGAGCAGAGCCATGCATCAACTGTGGTGTAGCTGCATTGAAACGCGGTGGAGTCTTCGTTCAAGCTGGGCTGGGCTCTCCCAATATCGCATTTCCAATCGGCCAGATTTGCGACAAAGAAGCTACGCTCAAAGGAAGCTTTCGATACGGACCAGGAGACTACAAGCTTGCCATCCAGCTACTGGAGTCCAATCGTATTCAACTAGATAGTCTTATTACTCATGAGTTCGCGTTTTCAAATGCGGAACAGGCTTTTCAGAATGTTGCGGATAGAGTCGGCATCAAGTCGCTCATATTTGGACCAGGCATCGATAGGGCGTTCGCAGAGGGTCGCACCGAGCAGCACACGCGTGTGTCTGATCTCCCGAGGCTCTAGTGTATGATGCGCTGAACACATATCGCAATCACGAAATTGCTCGAATTGAGACGCGTGCCCACCGAAGAGTGTTTGTGATGCGACAGCTAGAATTGTGGCTCGTTCCAGACGGAATCCCAAAACCAGTATAGGCCATTGCCAGTAACATCAACACCGTTATCATCGCTGATCCAGTCCAGCTCGCCTTCGAGGTTGAAGTCTCCGGTGCTAGCATTTGTCCAATCATTGTGTTCGCTAGGCAGGTGATTCATGCCACCGTCGTTCGTGACCCATTGCGGGACATAAGCTGTGTCGTCACGGGAGACGCTGTCGAGGGCGGCGGGAAACACTGTGAAAAGTAGGTGATTAGATTCGTACGCAGCTTCGGGGATGCATCAGTCTTACCTCTCTGTACTGACGCCATGCTCTCGTGAACGCGCTGCATGCTGTCAACTGTACTCTGTTGCTGTCTGTTGTGTCCACTCGCTGGCAGTTGCGTCGGCAGACGAAGGGTATCTTCGACAGACATCTGCGCAGTCCCGGTATGCGATCTTGTCATATCACTCTCGCCAAAGATCGCATCTGCTTCTCTGCGCAGTAGCATCTGGATGACGTCTTTGAGGACCGCATTACTCTGCATCGAGAGCTGTGTCCTTTTGCCGAGTAGCTCTTGCAAGCGAAAGATGCGTGTGATGGTCCTTTTCACTTCATGTGCTCTGTCCGAGAGTGGATCGGACAGCGCCAACACAGCCATGACCATGGCGGAGTTGAACAGATTGATAGCCAAGAAAGCTACCAGGTGGCTATCAGTAGCTAGTTGAGAAAGCCGTGGTAATTCAGTCACCTTCGATGTTCTCAACGCGGCGTCCCACCATTGCTCCGTGCTCGACATATGGCTTCTGTTGAGCGGGCTGGACTCATGAACCGCATGAAATGGGGATTCGGTGTTCGTAAGGCTTGCTGGAGATAGTGTGTTACCATGCCCGCTTTCCGGTTGCGTCCTGATTAGGCGGTCCACTTGTTTTGCGATTAACGGGCGATTGAAGATGATAAGGAGGTTGTCAAATGTAAGCTGAAGGGACAACGCCTGCAGCTGGTGCACCCGTGCGGTGCGTGATTGATCCATACTGCAGTCGGAGGCCACGTCGAGTAGAAGATGAGGCGGCAGACGTCGGCGCCACGCCCAAAGCTTCTCCGTCACGTCCGTGATCTGATCAGTGTATTGTGGTCCGCTCGGCCGTTCGTTGGGTCCCACCGCCCGCATCCCGAAGATGGTCTCGATGATGGGTGACGCGATAAGGTAGAGTTTGTTGAGCTCTCGTTGGTAGGACGAGTAACATATTGTTAAGTCGGCCTCTGGGGGGTTCATCCCTCTGAAGTAGGGCGACTCGCATACGTCAATCGGATGGTGTGTATTGCAGTCCTTCTCGTTGATGCCGATCGGTCGTCCGTACGTAATGGAAGCGAATCTGGTCAAGTTAGCTAATGATGCTACAGTGTCCGAGGAGGCTCAGACTGTACTGAGTTCCTTCGTATCTTCAGGGAGGGGCGCATTACCGGTCCCATGTGTAGATAGTCCACCAGACTCTTTTCCTCTCTTCGACATAGTGAGAGTCGCCTCGTAGCGGCTGGCGGTGGAGGCCGATGGCTTGTGCCGTTCGAATGGTTGCGCCTAGTAACGCAAAGGATAGATTAGGCTTCCCATGGTAGACATAGTAGGAGCCGAGCAAGATACACGTCTGAACAGACGAGATGGTACTCTGGTCCATCAGTTCCGCCAATTGGGAACCCGCGCCTTGAACGAGGGACTGCGACCAGGCGTGCCAATCCTCGCCTGGAAAGTCCGGATCCACGTCCTTCTTGTGAGACTTGTACCATGCTCCCATTCCCACAACTGTAGATAAGAGGAGAAGGAATGACTTCTGCGACGGATAAGCAAGGCCATCCTTGATAGAGTCGAGTTTTGGCCGGAATCTTGGCTCATAGATGACCAAGCTAAACCAATGCACCGAGTCGAAGTACTCTTCCAAGAGTGCCCGCATCATGTCGATTGGCGGCAGAGAATGACCGAGAATAGCCGCTATAGGGCGTCTCTGAGTGCGATCCAGACGAGACGCTGGGGCTCTACCATAGACATTGCCGCCCGGTATAGCTGATGTAGTCCGGCTCAATGTTGGCTGATTTCCCAGTCGGTAGATCTGGTGCGCAATATCCATGGCTGAGTTGGCTTCACCTTCTGCGATACTGGCACGCCTGCTCTCATCGCGACTGTTGCTTTCCGGATCTATAGTTTGATGCGTACCTTCATGACGCTGAATTGGAGCCTGCGGTTGCTCATGTGAAGCTTCGCTGGAGGGGCCTTGGGTGCGTCTCCTCTTCGGTGCGCGTGGAACTTCGACATTGCTTACAATGCATTCGACGTTTGCTCGAATGCAGAGCGCGCAAGGGCGCGATGTGTCGCACTTGGATACTCAGTCGGCGGCGCGCGTGACAGGCGGTGGGAGGGCGTGACTGACTCGGCTCTTGTTGCGACGACACCTCTCACACGCCTTGCTGACCCTGGTGGGTAGCTGACGCCCGGCAGCGGCATCAAGAGTCGCCGGGGGTGGTGCCATGGATGATGTTGCGATGGAACGGGTGAGGGCGCGCACGCGTCAGGCACGCCAGGTCAGCTGCGGAGCTCGGCGAGGTTTGCACCGTCGCCGTCGATGCCGCTGCCGCTGCACCCTCGCGTCTTTTCCGCCCACCACTGGCATTTTCATCGCTTTGCGTGTCGCCGATTGCGCTTGACAGCTGATGAAATACGCAGTAGTAGACAGCTTGCGCGTCTGATTCTCTCCGTCGTTCCGCCTCGATGTTACAGATCCAGCGCCTTCACCAGCCCTATCAGGTCAGCACCAACAATCATCGGATATAATACCAAACCGCTTTCTGATGCCACTGAGTGTGATCGCGGTCATGGAAAGTGGTCAAGATGGAGACGCGTCATCCGAGGTCTTCGTGGACGAACAGCCGCGTGCAAAGCGACGGCGAACATCAGAACAGCCTGCTCGGGAGGTGGGCTTGATGCGAAGCGTTCCTGGTGACAAGTTCACGGGCTTCGTGGGCAGTGCAAGCGGCATCTTCTTCATTAGGTCAGTCTATGGTGCGATCCGACGCTCTGCGGTACCTACAGACGGCGAAACGCCCGGCAGCGATATCGTGCCAGGCGAAGACGACCATCTCTCTCTAGTGCAACCGAATTCCTCTGGACGCTTATGGCGAGAAGCTGAGATCTCACACGGTCATACTTCTCGCATCCCGTTTCGCGACCTGATCGCTTTTTCTGGGAGCTATTTTGCCAATTGGCATCCGTTCTACCCCTTCGTGCACGCCCCGACCGTGCTAGAGTACTTCGACTGCTGTGCAAGAAATGGCTTTCCTGATCATGGTGCTTCAGAAGACCTACAGCTGGTGATAGTGCGTTCGATCATGTCCATCTCGCTTGCAGACCATCGACAATCGCCAGGGCTACCGAGTACTCGGCATCCTGCCTGCATCGTCTTTCCATCGTATGACGCTGCTGTAGATAGCCTCCGGACGATACTTTCTCGTCCCACGACAATACTCACATTACAAGCCGCACTCAGTGTGCAGCTCTTCTTAGTTTCCATGCTTCGCTTGAACGCCGCCTCCCGTCTTGGAGGGCTGATTATGCGGATGGCTGTGCAACTAGGCCTTCATCGTTGCCCAGCCAGATTTTCGACCTTCACATCAAGCACAAAAGAGCTTCGGCAACGCGTCTTCTGGTCACTTTATGCTGTTGATCGGTTTCTTGCCCAATCAATGGGCCTCCCACTCGGCCTGCCTGACGACGATATCGACGTCTGCTTTCCCCTCGCGGAACACCATCTGCAGACGCGCGTCGAGCCTCGTAAGTTGGGTGATGTTTCTTTTGTGCTATATCTCACAACCTGCAGGTCGTGAACTCCAGCTGCTGCACCTGGTTGCCCAGCAAGCCAGGCTGCGTGGCGAAATCATCGAGTTGCGCAACAAGTCGCTACACTACGTCCAGCATGATCCTGACCGAGCGACATCGATCATAGCTAAACTTGGCGAATGGTGGAACGATGTTGAGAACTACATCGATCCGGACAGCCGATGTGGCGTTTCTCCTTACGCGACTGCAGTATTGACACTACTTAGACATGAGTTGATCATCTCGCTGTATCGTCCCGTCTTAGCTACCGGTAGTAAAGATGTCGCTTACAATGCCGCCTTACAACAGTGCATCAGTTCTGCGCGTAGCATCATTACTACTTTGCACACCGCTATCCAGGGGAAAGACGGGTCTCAGCCGTATCATGACCAATTGGCTCTCCTTTGGCCCTCCTGCACCTGGGCTGTATGGATCAGCACATTCATCATGTTCTACGCCGCCCACGAGGGCCGAATTGACCACAGCGTCGTCATAAGGTAATCAATACGCCGAAATCGCGTTATCTCAACTAACACGTACGATGAAGATTCGCTGATAAAAGTCTCGACATACTTCAAGACCTCACGCTACGCGGCAGTGCTTGGCCTGAAGCAAGCTCGGCGGCCATTCGCGACTTACGGGCTCGAATGCTGCAGAAGTCTGCTCACATGGTTTCTCGATACGATTCAGAGGTCGCTGGAGATGCAGCCCTTTCTCAGAAAGATGAAATGAACTTACGTTCAAGCCTGCACGAGCAATCATTACCTACCCGCAATGACGATCCAGATCAAGTCGGAAGCCAAAGGAGGAACGACATCGAGCCTCATCATGACGCGCAGTATCCTCCTCATAATGCAACATTCAATTTCAGTGCGACGAGTAACCCAAACCACGATGCGACTTTCCTTGAGCACAACAGCTACTGGAACATCTTCGTTGGAACTGAGGGTGCCAACGCTTCGTCAACAGAGTACTCCAACGGCCTAGACCCTTTCTCTGGCTTCGATATCCCATTCTGGTTCGATCAAGAGCAGCATTGGGATTTCACATAGTTTCAAGACTCAGGATAAAACTGAGTGCTGGTTATGGCGGTATTGCTTGCAGAGCGTCGGACTTTGTTTGTCCGCCTCCCCCGCACTTGCCCTCATCTAGCGCATCTGTGGCAAGGTCATCGGCAAACCCATCGTGTGCGGACTATGAATATGGGGTTTCTTAGTCCGGATTATGAGGCTTAAAAGATACTGCGCATAGAACTCAAGAGATATCAACTCAAGTGCTTACCGCCGTTACGATCGCTCATTAGCCGTTACTCCCTGTCCCAACCCAACATTTCAACAGCCACCAACATGCGCACGCACTCTATTGCGACTATGGGCGCCGATGGCATCGGCCCTGAAGTTGTCAATGCTGGCGTACAAGTATTGAAGAAGCTGGCACAACTTGACGGCAAATTCGGACTGCACTTTGAAGACTACGACTGGAGTTCTGAGACCTATAAGAAGACAGGCCAATATATCCCTGATGGAGGATTAGAGAAGCTCAAAAAGCATGATGCGATCCTGTTCGGTGCTGTAGGTGCCCCGGGTATGTATCAGATGCTGAGTCTTACGCAATGTTGGTACTGAACTTCTGACAGATGTACCTGACCACATCTCTCTCTGGGGCTTGCGGCTCGCGATTTGCCAGACCCTCCAGCAATATGCGAACGTGCGACCCACCAAGATCTTTCGGGGAACCTCATCGCCTTTGCGCAACGCAGAGCATGGCGACCTAGATTGGGTTATCGTACGAGAGAACTCTGAAGGTGAATATGCAGGGCAAGGAGGCCGGTCGCATAGAGGCCAGAAGTGGGAGACTGCTACGGAGGTCTCCATCTTCACCCGCCATGGTGTAGAACGACTTATACGCTTCGCCTTCGAAACAGCCCAAAGCAGGCCGAGGAAACAGATCACAGTCGTTACTAAGAGCAACGCGCAGCGCAACGGCATGGTTATGTGGGATGAGATTGCTGCTGAAGTTGCGAAAGACTTTCCTGATGTCAAGTGCGACAAGATGCTCGTCGACGCCATGACGTGCCGGATGGTACTTGATCCGAAATCGTTGGACACGATAGTTGCAACAAACTTGGTGGGTAACACAGCGTACGGTGTATTCACCTCGGCTCTGACTGACTCGTCCAGCATGCGGATATTCTTTCCGATCTCGCAGCCGCACTGGCAGGCTCCATTGGCATCGCTCCTACCAGCAACCGTACGTATTCTTCATTTCCACATGGTTGCATCCATTGCCCATGCTAAGTGCTACCAGTGGACCCCACACGCCAACATCCATCCATGTTCGAACCGATTCATGGCTCGGCTTTCGACATTACCGGCAAGGGTGTCGCAAACCCAGTCGGAACCTTTTGGACAGCGTCTGAGATGCTTGCATGGCTAGGCGAAGAGCAAGCGGCAAAGAGGTTGATGGAAAGCGTCGAAGCTATCACGGAGCGAGGCATTGCCACGCGCGACCTGGGAGGCAAGGCGTCGACAAAGGAGGTTACTGACGCGGTCTGCGCTGAGCTAGAAAGCATCTACGGTAAGAGTCAGTAGAAACCAGGGTCGTGATGGGGTGGGCCTGATGATGCGGCAACGTTAGCCGCTGGCTCCAACCTGGTGGAGCGGACGTTGTCCGGTCAAAACCTGACTCGTAGCCGATGGGATTGTCCTTTAGGCCTACAACGCCATGTGCCAGCTATCGCGATAGCTTCAAACGCCATATTGTAAAGTTCAGAGATCAGCAACACCCGTCCACATCCGCGCATGTCGATCGTGGCTACGTTACCTCTGATGAAGCCACCACTGCCACGAAGCCATTGTTGGGACCTTATGTGAACTCTAAAGCAGAGCCTCTGCCGATCTCTTGTTTCCCCTATGCGGTCGCACACCCAAAAGAGGCGACGATTGACAGCATCTCCATCGGTCGCATTAACCCGAGCCATGCTGGCACCACTAGCCGTCTGCAACATGAAGCAGTGGATACCTGAGCGACCAACCCGGAGCTAGCCCCCGCATCCTACCATCCTTCCCCGCACACCACCGAATCATCATTCCCTGTATGCAGTTGCCCAAGCTCAACTGCCGTGGGAATAAGGCATCCCCCACCACCACCACATTATAGTGTCCGTCGCATCTTCGACAATTTAGGATTGCTTCCACGCTTCTTCCATCCATCTGCTGTGCGATCTAGATTGCTCCTTTGCATATCGTTTATCCTTCCACGTGTGCTCCCTCGCGCTACCATTCCAATCACACCGCGGCCATAGAGTTACCATGCCTTTGGGTATACTCCAAGACTACAAGCTCGAACATGTCCCTGGGACAGCTCCGTTAAGCGAGCTTGGTCGCATTGATCTCGAGATCTCGAACGATGTTGATCGCGGGCTGCTGAAGCATGATCCTACTGGGCAGATTGTGCTGGTGCCGCAGCCTTCTGATTCGCCGAACGACCCCTACAATTGGCCAAGATGGAAGAAGGAGATGTTCACCGTCGTCATCGCATATGGATGCGGCGCTGTAGGAGGTAGGCTCGCGACATCAAGATACCACATACTGAGCTAATTGCATGTTTCGTAGCTGTCGGTCCGCTGCTCACACCAGCTTTCGTGCCCCTGGCAGAACAGTTCAACGTCCCATTACAGAGATTCACTCTGGGTTGCAATGGGTCCTGTATTGTCGCCATCGCAGTCGGCAGTCTCATCTGCAACACCTTAGCCGTCAAAATCGGGAGACGACCAATCTACCTCGCAACCACGGTTGGCCTGGCGGTGTCCTGTTTCTGGGCTGCGGAAGCTACCAGCTTTCCCTCTCTGGCGGCCGCCCGAGCAGTCCAAGGACTGTGCATGGCGCCGTTCGAAGCACTCATCCCAGCATCCGTCGGAGACATCTGGCATGTCCATGAACGCGGATTCCGAATGGCTATCTTCAACCTTGGTGTTCTCGGTGGTATCAACCTAGCGAGTCCGATCGCTGGATCCGTCATCCAATACGGCTCTCACCGCATCGCATTGCACGCAATGGGCGGCGCTTTTGTCATCATGCTCATCCTCATCATCTTCTTCATGCCCGAGTCCGCCTACCACCGCCACGACGTCATCAACATCGACACGAGCTCCAAGAATGTGGAAAGTGACGCGGTTGAAAAGGAGAAGTCAGCCGAGCGCGTCGAAGACTATGCGGTCCAGTCGTCCGTCTCTTCCGAGGCCCCATACCCTTACGTCAAGACTCTCATGCCATGGTCTGGTTACTGGGATCACGTCTCCTTCTGGCGCACATTCCTACGCCCCTTTGTGGTGATCATGAGCCCGGTGGTCATGTGGGCAACCTTGCTCTTCACCATCTGCGTGTCCTGGCTTGTCTTGATCTCCATCACGTTGTCGCAGATCTTTTCCGCGCCACCATATAGTTTCTCCGTGAGCGCGGTTGGCGCGACGAACCTGTCCTCGTTCGTGGCGTCGTTGTTGGCCACGCTGGTAGCCGGTCCGATCATCGATGGTGTGGCGAAGTGGATGTCGACACGCAACAAGGGTACTTTCGGTGAGTACAGACGACCCAAGCTGTGATTACGAGCAACTGACAATGTCTTAGAACCTGAGTTCCGTCTCCCTGTTATGATAACCTACCTAATCTTTACCGCAACCGGCTTCTTTGCTTGGGGCCAATCACTCCACAACCGCGATCCGTGGCCCATCCCAGTCATCGTCTGCATGGGTCTGATCAACCTGGGTGTTCAGTTAGGAACTACCGCCGTCGTAACCTACGTCTCTGACTGCCATCGCGAGCAGGCCGCCGAAGCCTTTGCCATCATGAACTTCGTCAAGAACCTTTTCGCATTCGGCCTGACGTTCTACGCCAATGACTGGATCGCGGTACAGGGTGTGAGGGACGCGTTTTATGTCATTGGTGGAACCACTGTCGCTGTCACACTTTGCACGATTCCAATGTACATCTACGGCAAGCGTGCGAGGAGTTGGGTGAAGAGATGCGGAGTACTCGATAGTGTTCTCAAAGCCGAGTAGAGGATCAATCGTGCGACGAGAAGAGCCTGCGTGTCTCGTGAGCGTTTCACAATGTATTCCAGACTGTAGAATGTATTACCGTAGCAATATTTTTTCCAAGCTTTCGATCGTGTCATACGTCCAGTGCCGACCACAGCGGGATGGATGGCCAGCATCGCCTTTCGAGCGTGGGCTGGTCCTGCGGCTGCCGACAATCGGCATCTTTGGTGGTTGACTCGTGTGACGAAGGACGAGCCGCCTATCTGACTCAGTCTGACTGGCATCGCAGGAGCATCTGCCAGACATTCCTCTCGAGTTCTAAAAGTAGTTTTCTTGCCATCTTGCAGGATCAGTGGGAGCCCGCTGCATGTTCGGTGCTATAGGCATTTTGCAGTCTTCCAGTTGCTGCAGGACTGAAACCGGCGGGGATGTATCGCCGGGTATCTGGCGAGAAGCGTGCGCACCACTATTCGGTCGACCTTCGGCTGCCCTGGATGTCTTGCGCGCTCCGTCGTTATCAGGGACGGAATTGCTGTGTCTCGGCGGAAATACTTCCGGGGCTGCCGTCTCGCGACACTGTGCTTGTAGCCAAGCTGTCAACTGCTCGGTCGTCTGCAAAGGCAGGCGCTTCCATTCTTCAAGCTTTTCTGCTTTTGAGCCTTGTCGCTTTGGCGCGTGCGATGATGGATCTGAAAGCCTAACTTCGTTCAACCGTATTAAGTCTTGGTTTTGGACGACAGTGAGTGTTGCGGAGAGTGCAGCCTCGGTGTCTGCAAGCCGTTTCTCAAGAGCAGTGATGTATGCGGCTGGAAGACCTCGCTTACCACCCTCTTGATAGTGGCATGGCAGCGATGATGTCTGGCATTGAGAACAGCATGGGCTGTGTTGGTTAGATGAAGTTCTGCAGCTGGCATTTGGGTTACCCACAGCTTCCGATCGCACTTGCACTTCTTCGCTCTGCAATTCTCGCATGCAATGGCATTTAACTGGACCTCCAGATCGCGATGTTAGTGCATGTACCAGGGTCCTAGACGAGATCACGCACCGCTTCAGTCATGCTTGGATGACGATGGGAAGTGTTGGAGTTTGAGGAGGCTGGAGCTATTCGGGAGGTGTGGCTTGGTGATCTGTGCGCCACGAGGGGAGCCCCTAATGGCAGGCGCGTCAACCTTGGAAGCCTTGCACGTCATCTCTCCAACGCGACAGCATCTACTTCAGAGCTTGAAACGACATACATTACGAAGAGCAATGCTGCTGAGCAAAATGCGCATCGTGGTTCGGTGTAAGCTCCTACTGGGACCCGCCTGCGAATCGATTGCCGTTGCGGCACTACCGCACAACGTCTTCCGCCTGAAGAATGCCCGGATTTTTGGCCCGCCGATCCAGCCTCTTCCGCACTTTGTCGCCCAGATCAGTCGAGAAGTTGGCGATACTGTGCGAAAGAACTTGTCAAGGGACAGGAGAATTTCCCCCGCATTCAACCTTACCCGTTGCACCACGGACCGCGCCAGACATGGCTAGTGCTGAGGTCCATGTCGGGCATCGGGTCATTTGAGCCCAGCCTTGCATGCACATTCACGGACCTGAGTACACGATTTCGATATGAAGCTGACGGTGTTGAGTAAGGCAGACTAACATCACACGCCATTTATTCGCACGGCAGCGAGAACTAGCCACATATGTCCTATCACGGAGAGACCAGACTTCGTAGTCGTTGTACCGTCGCAAGACAGACATTCGTATTTCCTTTGATCAACGGTCATGCTTCATGGTGAAGGATGCGTCAACCGTACCACCGGGCACAAACCCCGCAAAGCCAAGAAGAAAGCGAGGCAGATCCGGCATCCCTTAGTCGGTTCGACGGTTACTTGAACCGGTGAAGTGCTTGGCTTCGAGTATGTAAGTTGAGAAGGTGCCATTCTGACGCTACACCGAGTACCTATCTCAACCGGAAAAATCATGGCACCAGCAGTTGCAGGCCCCGGCGACGGTATTATCGAGCGTCTCGTCGCTGCCGATACGGTACGATGGTGGAACAAGCCAAACCTCCGACGTCTCTACCTGTTGTTGGTACCTTTTTGCTTCTTCATTGAGTCTACTTCTGGTTTTGATAGCTCAATGATGAATGGAAGTAAGTCGTTTTTACTACAGCGCTGTTTAAGATGAAATACTGATGCAGTATGCGTTATCAGTGCAAGCTCTCCACTACTGGCAAGAATACTTCAACCACCCCAAAGGAGGCCAACTCGGATTACTTGTCGCCTGCTACAATCTCGGCGCTATATCGAGTATTCCGCTCGTCTCAATCGTTTCTGACCATCTAGGAAGGCGAAAGAGTATCGTCTTGGGGTCGACGATTATGATCATCGGAGCTATCATGCAAGGCTTATCGCAAAACCGTGAGTACCTTCAGCATTTCTGTCGCATGCGGAGATTCTTGCAACTGACATACATGTAGTCGCCATGTTCATCTTCAGTCGAATCTTCCTTGGCCATGGTATCGTCTATGCCATCATCTCTGGCGCCGCTCTTCTCGGCGAACTAGGCCATCCCAAAGAGCGACAGTTCTTAGGCAGTCTTTTCAACGCATTCTTCGGAGTAGGCTCCGTGCTTGGAGCGGGTATCGGTGAGAGGTTCCCCTCCATCAAAGGTAGATGAATGCATGCTGATCTTGGCTCCGATGTATAGTCGTCCGCACACTACTCATTCCGAGCGACTGGTCTTGGCGCCTTCCCTCAATCCTCCAAGCAGGTCCTTCTGTCATTCAGATCATCTTTGCTTTCACAGTTCCGGAAAGTCCTCGATGGCTAGTCTCGAAAGATCGCAGCGAAGAAGCTCTTGAGATCTTGATCAAGTATCATGCGGAGGGCGATGCTTCGGCCGAGTTACCTCACCTTGAGATTGCTGAGATTAGGAAAGCTCTGGAACTGGAGAACGAATCGCGACAACGTGGATGGGCCGAGCTCTTCCAGTCCAAAGGCATGCGGCACCGTGCACTTGTTGCCGCCGGCCTTGGCGTCTTCGTACAGTACAGCGGCAACAACCTCATCAGCCAATACCTCGTGCCTATTCTGGAGAAGATCGGCATTGAAGACAGTCACACCCAGGTGCGCTACAACGTCGGCTCTGAAGCATGGGGCTTCGTTATGGCACTTGTCATGGCGACAATCACACCTCGATACCCACGTCGCAGGATGTATCTGCTGTGTGCGAGTTGCTTGTTGTGCGTATATACCGCATGGACCATTGCTCAGGCTCGTAATCGCCAAACTGGATCTAAAGAGACCGGCTATGCCGTCCTCGTCATGATCTTCCTATACAAGCCCGCCTATAACATTGCATACAACGCCCTCACCTACGTATACATGGTCGAAATCTTCCCATACTACGTCAGAACCAAAGGTCTATCCTGGTTCCAACTCTTCAATCGTTGCTCCGTCATGCTTGGATCCTTCACCAATCCCATCGGACTGGAAGACCTTGACTGGAAATTCCTCTTCGTGTACATCGCTTTGCTGTGTTGCGAGATCGTATTCATCTACTTCCTGTTCCCCGAGACGTACGGAAAGACGTTGGAAGAGCTCACTTTCTTGTTTGAAAGCGAGAAGGATGATGCCGATGCGCTTGCTGCAACCACCGCCAAGGTCATGGGAGGAGATAGTAACGCCATCGAGCTTCACGAGGCGCCAGACAAGAAGGCCTAAGTCGCAAGTAAAGTGGTGGCTTGGACTGAGGTCTATGGGTCTTGCAAGTGACGTTGCATTTGGCGCTCACAAGGCGGGTTTTGAGGCCGCTTGGAAGTGAGCCGCATTTCTTCGAGCGGGTATGAAACGGCCGTTGACGGAAATAGTGGAGATGGGGATGCACAAATTGTGGCTGTTCAGCACAAGTCAGTGTTGCTCGCGGTCGTACTCGGAAATGAATCATGAACCAGTCTTTCCGTTCCGCATGTATAATATGGCATCGCGCATTGTGGCTCGCAATGAACACTTCGGGTTCGTGCAACATTTATGAAGCAATGGCTGACATCAGCTCAACACTTTCGCATTGTTACCTGCATGTCCAATGTTCCGAAGTAGCATGCGGCGCAGCAACGTGTCAAACCACAGCTTGCATACAACGCCTGAAGAGGATGGAAATTGCGCGGATCTCCACATTCATCCATAAGTTTGTTCGACAACACAACGCACCAATGACTCGCTCTTCTATGCGACCATGACACCGATCAAGCGACAGCGGCTACAGAAGACAGATCTCCGACAGATCGGGACCTGTGGGGAATCTCCCGAACGAATGGGAATCTGGCGGCTTTGAAACAACAACAGATGGGCATACGCTTGGCCAGTGAGGGTACGCAACGATCGCAATGCAGCCTTGATAGCCGCGACCCGGCAGACTGGATTTAGCGTACGCCGGTGTTAGAACACGTGTCAGTACTGGAGAACACCGAATGACATGTTCAGCCTCAAGCCACCGTAGTATCAAGTCAGTAAGCGAAGTGTTGGATGTAGAGGTAGGGCTGGCTGGAAGGTGTCAGACGATGGTCCATTATAACACACCTGATATGCTTCGGCTACTCCAGAGGATGGCAGATGTCAACTCCTGCTTGACACTGGGAGAAGCCGTCACGTGAAGCTTGCTTCATGCATGCATGCGTTGTTTGCTTTGCACCGAGATGCCAAATGCACGATAGACGCGACGTGGAATATTCGAAAAATAGACGCATGGCTAAATATTCCGCGGCGCTGATAGGTGGCTATTAATAAGTGGGGTTATCGGCCCCGCGCTTAACGATAGCGCGACCCCGCTATCTGAACCCCCCAAAATTCGTCGAAACATCCCGAGGCCGTCGGTCCCACCACGTCCACAACCACCCACGTCGCGCGAGTTCACGCGATACCTCCGAGGCTGGAAAGCGGCATCGCCATTCGCTCACCGAGCAAAACCAACATGTTTCCCCAGACCCGCGCTCCTTACATTGGCTGCAGTGTCCGATGAGGCTCGAAGCGCTTATACGACTGTGCCTCATTGATGCATCGTCATCGAAACGTGACCTCATGGAGGGGCCAAAAGCTAAGAATACGCCTAGCTGCATATGTTTTAATACTACAGCGGCAACGAGAATACGCTAGCCTAGCCATGCGGCCATCCCAGCGGTTATACACATGCTCTGTACGGCTACACCCACAGCGGTGACCCGGCTTGACAGCTCCCGACGCCCGCGCCGCACGTAGGTGTCGTGGAAACGGCCTTCAGCCGCCTTTCTTGGCATACTTTTCTGGAGGTTGGGTCTGGTCCTTGCGGCTAGCTCGTGCCGTGAATGGTGCGTTTGCTCGGTAATGCACCGGTTTCCAGAACGAAGGCATAGTTTGCATGTACGCCGCAGTAACAGTGCTGTTTGATGTTTCGAGCAGGCTCCAATCATGGAAATGGCTTGTGGAGGCTTATACTGCAGCTCGATGTTGTTATAGTATGGTGATGGACACCGATGGTATGTACCTGGTATCAGTCTACTGCTTCTCTCCAGTCTGGCACTGCTCTACTATCTTGTACGAAGCAACAATCTTTCATCGTTCTCCACTATCTGCGTACCTAATTCGTGTTCTTTTAATGCCTTATCCGATATCCACATCAGGTTACTACCCCAACATGTCTCGTTCTCCACGCACTCCTATGCGTTCGCCTGCTTTTCCAGACATTCCAATTTATCTGGATACCGGCGATGAACGAATCACAGCAAAGACATATGGTACAACACCGACTACGCCAACTACACCAGACATCATCCCTCCTCAACGCCCGACACATCTGAGTCCGTCACATATCAACGCACCACCCATCAGCCCGGCCGAGCCGAGCCCTACCACAACTATTGAGACTTCCAGTTGCCGGTCAGTCATCTGGCCCATTCCGGAACCACCACCAGAGATCCAGCACCAGTCTGACTCCCGGCGACCGACTCTTCGCTTCTTCCCGACTGAACGGCCTCGAGTCCGTCTTGACACCGTTCATTCCTTGCAGGTTCCTTCCATCAACGAGAAGACCCCGATCAGCTACTACCACCACCCCGGGCTGGGCATCCTCAACGGGCCGCCTAAGCCTCCCTCCATCGAGATCTCGCCGCCGTTCAACGAGAAGTCCGATCCGGAGGCCAACATCGCACAACGCATTGAAGAGACATTGTGGAGATACAGCGCTTCAGGCAATGTATTGAAGCGGTGGCTGTTGGAGTTAATCAGTTGGCTTTTCAGCGCAATTTGCATGGCTGCAGTCATAGGCGTACTGATTGGCCTTCAAGACAAACCACTATCTGACTGGTCACTAGCGGAGAAGACTGGTCTGACTTTGAACACCTACATATCGATACTGTCTAAGATGGCAGGTGCTGCTCTAATTCTACCGGTGTCGGAGGCCCTTGGGCAGCTGAAGTGGAGCTGGTTTCTGGAACACTCTAAGCAAATGTGGGATTTCGAGATCTTTGACAATGCTTCCAGGGGACCATGGGGATCACTCCTGTTACTGATCAGAACCAAAGGAAGGGCTTTAGCAGCGTTAGGAGCCATGATCATGTTGTGTTCCTTGGCACTGGATCCTTTCTTCCAACAGGTCGTCGACTTTCCAGACCGATGGGCGTTGCAGAACGCCTCTAGCCTGATCCCGCGAGCTGTGACTTACGATCCGCCTAACGCGCATTTGTCGATGTTTGGATATGAGATTGGTGTCACCGATGATGTCATCGCACCTCCGATCAAAACCTACTTTTACGGCAACGGTACTGTGCCCCTCCCTTTTGGCAATGGCACGAAACCCGATATCCCTCTTGTAAGTCTTCATATCTACCTCCCTACATCGCTTCTTAGCCCTTTTCTTGTTTGAGAGTAAATCGCTGACTTAGCGCGTGCAATAGTCATGTCCAACAAGCAACTGCACATGGCCAGAATACGAAACTCTGGCTGTATGTAGCAGCTGCGAGGAAGTATCACATCTCCTCGATATTGATTACGCTTGTTTGGAGAATGCCACAATTGATTGGAGTGCCGGGTGGTACGGACCGTTAAGCGACCAGCCGTATTCGAATGGTACCGTGTGCGGATACTTCCTGAACTCGACCAGCGAAGCCCCGCTCCTTCTATCCGGATGGGTTGCCAATTCCACGGAGCCTTCAGCGCCGACAGGGGAAACGCTTCTCGTTCGAACGATTCCTTTATACGACATAGATACGAAAGAACCCCTGTACGGCAATGGGTCTATCAACTTCAAGCACATCGGCAACCCTATCCTCGATGCCTTGATTGCATCAGCTGTCGATGGTGTTGACAGTGTCCTTAGCAAGGCAGCGCCAGTCGTGCACGAATGTGTACTTTCTTGGTGTGTACAAACGATGAAGTCTTCTTACGAATGGGGCAAGTATACCGAACACGTCACATCCACCCACCTGAACGTCGTATCTGAGCCCACGCCGTGGCCTTGGGCTGTGGACGAAAATGACTTCCTCTACACCCAGAATGTAACGATGGTACCTCCAGCCTCAAGTACAGGTCGTACCGCTGATACGGTGTTCAACGACACGTACACCGTGGATAACGCTACGATATTCAAAGCCATGGTCATATTCGATGACTTCTTTCCGTCTATGTACACTGCCAACAATGTGTCGGAAGAGGTTCTAAGGTTTAGGAATTACCCGAATGGCCCGACGACGCGCGAACTTGAATTCAACCCGTGGGAAGCGCCCAACAACCTCACACGTCACATGGAACGGCTGGCAACGACGATGACGAACGTCATTCGATCCGCCGCTAGTAAAGAGATGACACCAGGCGAAGCTTACAACAAGGAAAATTTCGTCTCCGTTCGCTGGGAATGGCTTACTCTTCCAATCGGTCTTTTGTGTATCTCATTAGTCTTTCTTTCCGCCACCGTTGCGAAGTCTGCTGTTGAACGAGATCGTGTTGGGGTGTGGAAGACATCAGCGTATGCTACGCTTCTTTATGGATTGCCGGACGAGATGCAGCAAAAGATTACCAGGTCTGGTAGTACTGGCACTCCAAGAGCAAAAGCAAAAGAGTTGAAGGTCAAATTACAAGGAACTCAAGGGTGGAGAGTGTCGGGTAATCTCTTTTCACCCTTCGTATCTAAGCCACGGCCCAATCAGCCTCCTCCAGGCTGGATTTGAGTATTACTGCGCCAGTACAGATAGGAATATGGAAAATGTACAACAGAAAGAAAAAGCCACCCATCCGCGCTCCACCACTTCTTCGTTTCGTACTCGGAGGTATCGGAAGTGTGAAGGTTGAGAATAGTAATACAAAGAGTCGATGGAGTCCAGCTCGGTAAGTCGAATCCAGAAGAAGTCACCGCAACGTCCCTGCGTCCACTATGGGGGACCGAAGCCACCGCCGCCGATTCGCCTCGCCCGCTTCTCGATGTCCTCTACCGACCTCTTTGGAGGACCGAAGCCACCGCCGCCGATACGCCTCGCCCGCTTCTCGATGTCCTCTACCGACCTCTTTGGAGGACCGAAGCCACCGCCGCCGATACGCCTCGCCCGCTTCTCGATGTCCTCTACTGATCTCTTTGGAGGACCAAAGCCACTACCACCGGGACGCCTCGCCCGCTTCTCGACTTCCGTTGTCGACCTCTTTGGGGGGCCAAAACCACCACCACCGGGACGCCTCGCCCGCTTCTCGACTTCCGCTGTCGACCTTTTTGGGGGGCCAAAACCACCACCACCGGGACGCCTCGCCCGCTCCACCAAGTCGACGACAGGCTCTCGCTTGGGTAGGCTGGGAAGGATAGTGGCTCCAACGGGCTCATCGCTTCGTTCGACTACGACATCCTTCTGCAGAATCTGGTACATGTGTTAGTGTGGATCCCATATGTGCCTGAAGCGTGAGACGTACGGTAGAGCCTGGAAGAGGCGCGGCGATGATGGGTAGCACAAGGGATGCAAAGAGGAAGATCTTGTATCCGTACATCGTGCCGATTGAGGATACACGACAGCGTCAAGGGGTAATGATGGAGTCCTTCAAGCTTGGGTCGATGTGTCTAAGGAAAGAGATGCTGGACCGTGGTGCACTTTCGGTATGCGGCCTGAGTGTGGGAATCAGCAGGGCATTTATCCTCGATCATTACACCAACGCGACAATGACATCCAGAGTCTCACGCAACACACTCATTTCCACCTACCCCTCCACGGCGCTTCAACCCGCTGCCACCATCATGATGATAGCCGCCTTGGAAGCCACCGACGCGACGCGAAATGCAAGGAACAAAGCACGCACGATGTGCTCATCACGCGAAGATGTGCAATCATTGGGAGGGAGAACGGAGGGCATGATGCCTGGAAGACGAAAGAGGCAAGCTGAAACGCAGAGACCGACGCGTTGGAACACAAGGCGTTAGGCCGGAAGTATGTGGTGGCCCGCGACCGCGTCGCAATGGATCAGGGGATCTCTGCGGTTTTCGTCACACCGAGTTATCACATCCGAAGCGCTCAAAAGACAGGGCTTTCTACAAGGCGACTCTGTAGAGTCGAGATCCTGTAAGTACGATTCATCACCTGTAATTCCTGTGGTTCTTGTCAACGTCCAGAACGACTTCTAACCAATCAAAAGATTTTGGAGATGTGACGTGGCTTGGCGGCGTTTTGGACCTGCCCCTGGAGTTGAAGCGATTGGCTCTGCGCAATCGGTGCCTTACGCCAATCAACCGCACCCTCGACCTAGTCACAGTTCATCCGTACACGTGATTGACGACGGCGTAACGCTTCATTTGTTCCCTTTGTTCAAGTTCGATAGCGATTCAATACAAGCGATTTTCAACATGAACAAGACGCTTTTGGTGTAGTTGCGGACTGATAGTTTTGATTAATGGCGACGTACATACCCTGGCTTCTTAGCCGAGAAACCGAACGCCCTGGTTGAACTGGACCATGAGATCTCAATACATTTCTCATATAACAGAATCCTGTCAATGCCGTTGAATTGCAGGCTGCGAAATTCAGAGCCGTACACAGATTGCTATTATTCTTCTATGACTTTTTGCGAAGTTCAATTACTTTGCATCAGGAAAGAAAGGGGTAAGAGAAGCTTAACCAATCCCAGGCTGCGAGGAAGCGCCGGAGATCAACACCTACGTTGTTGTGGAGGGTTTTCCCTCACGCCCCAAGACGACCGCTACATACATGTAAACCTTATCAAGACCCATCGTCATGCGGCTGGATCAATATCATCGCTCCCGCTGCGGTGTCGCTGTCAAAAATCATGCACACAGCAAGCTTCCAAGGTTCTTTGGAGCATCATGCGCAAGCTGTCACACGGCCCTTGCATGGTGTCACCCATCGAGACCTTGTCCTACACCTGTCCAAGCAGGGTTGCTCTATCAGCCTTGTTACTCCCGGCCCATTCGTCGACCGCGGCCGCATGGGCTTCTATATGTTACGGTTGCCCACGTTGATTGGGAATGACCGGGGACAAGGGCAAGCGAAGCGGAAGGAAGGCTTCCCACAAGCTTGGCATCATAGGCATTGGTGCAGTATGTTCGCATCTTGCTTCCCTGTTCAATAGCATCGTATTGCCCTGGAGAAGACAGACTGAGATCATCTCATGTATGTCTTGTTTCGCTACCGGCTAGCTATTGTCACTTGCTCAACAAAGTCTTAATACCCTTCACGTAAATTGCTCCGCAACTCATCATCGTGCAGTATTCACAGCAAGATCTTCGATACTGTTGTTCAGTTTACTTTGTAACACTGTTGTGACATCACCTTACACAAGACAGCATGGATACCGCCAGTCAACCTTGGAAGAGTTCCTTTGGGCTGATCGGTACTAGCTTCCGCTCCTCCAGCTGTCGTCTCCAGGTTCTTTCTCTTGATCGGATCGCCTCGCGTTCTGCCTATTTACAATGACAAGTCCAGCGCGTAAAACTTCACGTGGCTACGAACCGAAAGACGGCGGTGACTGCAGGATGTCGTGCACGCCTGGGCGCTACTGTGGACACGCTATGTGATTGATCCGACTACACCAGCCTTATCCCTACGAAACTGTACGACCTCGGGACGGCTGGAAACCATCATGGAACGAAGGCACTGTCAGCGCTTAAGTTCCCATCGCGATAGGTACGGAGTTGTTCCGGACACCGAGCACCTCGAGAGTTCTCCGTATCATCGATGCTCTAGCCCAGCGCTCTGCATGCACGCACGACTAGGTGATCACCTCTCTTGAAGCGCAGAGTGCTCAAGCTCGATCAGCTGCACAGTATCCATTGGATCGATAAGCCCAGGGTCATGTGAAAGACCGACGTACTATCGAAAGCCACCAATACAGCTTTCCAACTGGTGACGTACGATAACCGCGCTAGCGTGATGACCCTGTGGACACGCGCCCCAGTCGCGTCGGCACGCATCACGAACCATGCGAGCTGCCCATCATCGCTACACCACGTTTTGCACTTGATAGCCCCATCTTTGAAGCAAACCACGTCCCGATAACGACGCCCAGCTTGCGCGATGATTCCAGTATTGTACGCTGTCCATCGCCAGCATGCTTCCTCGCCTCGAGAGCTGTGCCGCAACGCCGAATGGACCTCCTGCAGCGGTTGATCTACCTGGCGCTTAATCGCCATTGTACAGAGGCTCGATATCTCTTATCTGAGATATTCAGAGCTCGACTCTGGTAAACTCACGACTCATAGTGGCCGCAGTATCTGAGCGAGCGCACCGTCCAGTGTATTTTTAGCCGCTCGACCTTCATGAGGAGGCCGGCCGTCGATAAGCATGCCATGAAGAACGTCGGCAGACCGCTCACTCGATCTCGTACGGAACACGATCCAGCAATTAGTACCATTCACGCAGCTCTTTCGGAAAACCTCACGAGAGGCACAGATGTCACCTGTCTCCAGACTTCCACCGTCCTACATCCCAACCCTCGGCACTGAGCGCACCACTCCGCCGCCCTCATACCGTGCATCCACCCAACACAAGCCGTCGCTAGATCTCTCTCAACGTTTTGAGAAAAAGTTGGCGGAATACAATGCGTCTCAGAACATCTTGAAGCGTTGGCTGTTCGAGATTGTCAGCTTGACCATCAGCGCGATCTGTATGGTATGTAGCATCTTAATGTACAGACTTCGAGCATGTGTCAGACAAGCACTGACAGTCCATCTCCAGGGATCCATAATTGGCATATGCATCTACACCAAGGACCAGCCTCTCAGCGACTGGCCACTCGCGTCGACCGCCCAAAACGTACTATCCAAGATCGCCTCGGCCGCCCTGATTCTCCCAATATCTGAAGCCATTGGCCAGCTCAAATGGGCCTGGTTTCACGGCACCAAATCGAAAGACATGATCGATTTCGAGATATTTGACAAAGCTTCTCGTGGAGCCTGGGGTTCGTTCCTACTGCTCTTTCGCACCAAGGGCCGATCTCTGGCTGCGCTCGGCGCTGTCCTCACGCTACTCTTGTTAGCTGTCGATACTTTCTTCCAACAAGTCACCGATCTTCCTGAACGTTGGAATCTCGACGGCTATGGCGAGATACCTCGTGTGGTTCGATACGAAGGCGATAACGGAGATATATACGAGGATGGCTATCCGAACACCATGCAAGACATAAATCTACGCCAAGCTACACTGAAGTACTTCTACTACAATGGGAACAAGGCCGTGCCGTTCGGGTCGGGAAACCGATCAGAGATACCGCTATCATGTCCGTCAAGTCGATGCGAATGGGACGAATACGATACGCTAGGGGTGTGCAGTGCTTGCGAGGATGTCTCTGAGCTTCTCACATATGCATGTCTTACGACCAACTTGGACTGGATATCCAGCGCGTTCCGGAATACGACGACTCAGTCAATAGGTATGTGCTCTGTGTACGCGAGATAGCGTTGCATCGAACTGACCCGGCTCCTTAGGAAGCTCTTGTGGTTATTGGATAAATGCCACGAGTGAAGCACCAATCCTAATGTCTGGCTTTAGAACCGGCACTGCTGCTGCTAACTCGTCAGACAAAGACGAGGCACTGCTACTACGGACGTTGCCATTATCACCAGCTGTCAGTTCCGTCAATCCGCTTTCGGCAACTCCACTGTTTGGTGGGTCGATAAATTACAAGGACATCTACTTACCTTTCCTGGACGCTATAATTGTCAGTGCAGCTGACGGCACTGCTTCCAGTGTATATAATGGCGAACGTCCGGTTGCTCAAGAGTGCATGCTCTCGTGGTGTGTCAAGACTCTCAAATCTACTTACGATTCGGGAGACTACGAAGAAACGGTGATTAAGACATTTCTTAACAGGACAGCTCGTCAGCGGTCCTATCCGTGGACTGGTTGGCCGGTATGGTCCCTGGGTGAGGAGACCTTCTTCTCAGAATTTCGAGGAAACCTCAGCATACACCCTCCTGGAACCGATCCAACGATTGATGACTTCGGCATGTCAAACGAGACCTTCGCAAGGACTCAAGCGCTATTCGATGAAATATTCCCCTCCACTATCACCGTCGCTAATGCTGTGTCGAAACCTTGGTGGCGCATTAGAATCTCTGAATGGGGTCGCAACCAACTGCATCCTTTCACGTTTTGCCCATGGCTTGCGCCAAACAACGTTACTCAGTACCTCGAAAGGCTTGCAACCTCCATGACTAATGTTCTCAGAACGCACAATAGCCACGACTTTGTTCGAGGGCGAGCCTATTCTCAGACTACCTTTATTGCTGTTCATTGGGAATGGCTCACATTCCCTCTTACTCTCTTTTTGTTTAGCCTGCTCTTCCTTGCAGCGACTATCTATAAGACATCCAAGACTGTGGACAGTGGAATGGGGTTATGGAAAACTTCAGCCATGCCCACGCTACTATACAGTCTACCGAAAGACACGCAAGAGGCTGTTGCTTCTCAAGGTGGATGGAAGAAAAGTCCTGATGAAGACTCAAAGAAAGTCAAGATCCGCTGGCTACCGAAGCATGGTTGGCGAGTCTCAGGTCAAGTGCGTATGTCGTCGTCACCAAACACGAACAACAACCGGAGAGCACCTCCGGGGTGGATCTGAAATCTGATTTTGGTGCTTCTCCGTGGAGATTCAACAGAGACAAGCAAATTATGCGCCTTGCAGCCACGTTCTTTTGAGATGTTGTTTGTTGTTCCCTTGTCTCATGTGCATGTATAGCCGCGTTGAAGCAGTATCCATCATCTAGTCATGCGCGACAAGCATGTGAGGCTCCCGAGGTCGATACTGATCGCTCACGCAGCCGATGCACGAGTTTCTTACGGCAACAACGCAACATGACAACGAGCCTCGCATAAGCGCGTCTTTGTTGCGACGTCGACCTCGCGTGCCTGCTCAGGTGGTCGGCGTCAACTCCCGCGGTAAATCGATCGCTGCTATTGGCTTATGCCGCCAAGCCACGCGAGAGATCAACATTGTTAGACATGGCAAGTCTGCACGACCATGGACTCGCAGCTGCTCGGCGCTAAAGCCGCTCCTCTAACGGCTAATTCCTTCGCTGGCAGCTCTACCTAGGTAATCTTTACTCCGCGGCTGGATATCTCTAGTTTTAGGACGTGCGATTGCTGCATCAAGGAACTGCCGAGCTAAGCCCATCCCGCTAAAGGTTCCGAGTGTATGGCGGGTTCATACAAGATGGTGCCACCGATTTGATGGCACGCCGTCTTCACCTAGCGGCCGTCAAGCAAATTGCCATTCTACTCACACATCCTCAATGAGTGAACCACCCAGTTACACATCCGCGATCTCAGAACACCCAAATCATCATATACCGACACTTCCCCAGTACCAATTCTCAAGACACCCGCCGCAAAATGCGCACACCTCGGAACGCGATACGACACCATCGACTCCTTCCGACGAGGCCGAGAAGAAATCATTAGACTTGGTACAGCGCTTAGAGAAGAAACTGGCTGAGTACAACGCGTCTCAGAATGTTTTCAAGAGATGGCTTTTTGAAACTGCCAGTTGGATAGTGAGCGCGTTGTGCATGGGCGCCATCATCGGTATCTACATATCGATCAGTGGAGAGGAAATGACCAAGAGCGAACGACTTCTCACGATAGCCAATATCTTAGGGAAGGTAGCATCCGCTGCCCTTATCGTACCGACATCTGAGGCACTTGGGCAACTAAAGTGGCATTGGTTTCATGAGTCCAAAGCTATGTGGGATTTCGAAATCTTTGACAAGGCATCCCGCGGTGCATGGGGTGCTGCACTACTTCTATTCCGGACGAAAGGAAGATCGCTTGCTGCGTTGGGGGCGCTTCTCATTGTGCTACTGCTTGCCATCGACACCTTTTTCCAGCAAGTGGTAACCTATCCGGACCATTGGGCCATGCAGAATTCTTCCAGTTCGATTCCAGTCGTCAAGCATTACCGTCCACCTATCTTGAAATTCTACATTAAAGGTGAAGAACAGGGGTTGTATGATGAGGTATCTGCCCCTATCGTTGAAAAGTACTTCTATGGGAACGGCACACGTTCTACACAGCTGGGTCGAGGCATTCGTCCTGAGATCCCCTTATCGTGCCCTACTAGCAACTGTATTTTCCCGGAGTACGATACTCTTGCAACGTGCAGCAGCTGCGCGGAGGTCTCTCACAGTCTAAACATTACGCACGCATGTCTCAACACCACGATCGACTGGAGTGCTTACTACCAGGGCCCGATAGATAGTGTTCCAAATCCAAATGGGACCGTGTGTGGGCATTTCCTCAATATCACATCGAGTACACCGCTCCTTCTCTCGGGATACGTGGTACAAGAAAACGGAACGAAGGATACTGCTGGCGAGGCTCTATTGATGCGCACAATTCCTCTTACCGACTTCTGGACTCGAGATCCCTACTACGGTTCAGGTTCTGTCGCCTTTAAAAACATCCGTTATCCGATATATGACGGTCTTATCTCTTCCGCAGCGAACGGTATTGACAGTGTCTTCCGACACGAGCCCCCTGTAGTTCACGAATGTGCACTGTCGTGGTGTGTTCAACGCATGAGATCCTCATATGAATCGGGTATATACAGCGAGAGCATCCTTTCAACGCATCTCAACATCGCCAACGATCCCACACCATGGCCTTGGATCGTTACGAAGCGGGAGTCTGGCACAGATTTTGTTTACGCGCCTAATGTGACTCTCGTGGTGCCATCGCAGAGCTTGCCAGGTACAACCTCACCCGGCCCAAACATGACGTATACAATCTGGAACGAAACCGTCTATAAAGTCAACACCATCTGGGACGATTTCTTCCCAGCATCTTATACTAGCAACAATTCGGCGATGCAGCCAGTACTCAGGTTTCAAAATTACGAAAGTGGCCCTGCTACGCGATACCTCGACTTCAATCCCTGGCTAGCACCTAACAATGTTACACATCATATGGAGAGGCTAGCTAGAGACATGACCAATGCCATGCGGTCTAATGTTTATAGCAATGAGATGGTAGCCGGAAAAGCGTACAGCATGGAGAAGTTTGTCCATATCAATTGGCTGTGGTTGATTTTCCCACTCCTGTTACTTGTACTCAGCCTTGTGTTCTTGGTTGCTACTATCATCAAAACGTCGAGGGATACCGAGACAGGTATATGGAAGACTTCGGCGATGCCAACGTTGATGTACGGTCTACCAAAAGACATGCGGAAGGACAGTACCTCAACCACGAGCTCGGGTGGCGCATCACACCACGATCCCCGCAAGGTCAGAATTAGACTCTTGCCAAAGCAAGGCTGGAGAGTGTCTGGACAGGTGCAGCCAGCACCGACAGCTCCACCTGGTTTCATATGACCGTAGACCTTTGCCCGCGATGTCAAACTATAGACAATCAAGTCATTTTGATAGAACTAAATAGCATGTAATGGAAAACCACATCTGGCACGTTTTGCCAAGCAATCGTCATCGCGGAGCCAATCTCGCTTGCCGAAGCCCAGCTCCAACGCGTCCCGCTGACCCTCGCTCCTTGTGTCCCCATCCCAACTTCATCACTCAAATTTCGACTCCCCCTTCGGTCGCCGGAAGATCTTCGCCTACTACTGCATCCAAGGTCGCTCTATTCGTTTGCGCGATGTGGTTATGTCGGTCTCCGCGCCGAGGTCGGTAGCTGGCATCCAGTCGCCATGCCGCAGCGCTAACAGCAAACCTCCCATAGGCGCACGATAACGAAGCGCATGCCCAGCCACGAAAATGGACACGCGCAACTTGCGCTTCGCTTCTGTGATACCTGGCTAGGTAGTAGAAGATGATGTTCAGCCTATACAACTCCGCAGGCGCCGGTCTGCGGCCATCTCGCTTCCAGGAATCGATCCAAACACCTTCTTGTCCGCAAGACGTCTACCCTTCATGTCTCTCACTGAGAACCACGATACACTCTACAACAATATACGCCCCACGTTGATGGCTCCAACCTCGACAGCAAGACGATCTTATCTTCCCCATAGTTCACCACAGAGCGGGGAATACCGACGACCCCATTCGCCTGAATCGCTCGACCCTCCAGAAAACGAAAAGCCATCGCTAGACTTTACACAACGAATCGAGAGGAAGCTAGCGGAATACAACGCCTCTAACAACGTCTTCAAGAGATGGCTGTTTGAGATCTCGAGCTGGTTAATAAGTGCATGTTCGATGATCGCGATAGTCCTGATATGCCTTCATATCAAAGATCAGCCAATACTCTCCACGAATAGCGCGTTCATTACCGGGATCAATGTGCTGGGGAAGATCGCGTCTGCTGGATTGATAGTTCCGACAACCGAAGCGCTCGGTCAGCTGAAATGGAATTGGTTCCACAACTCCAAGGCTATGTGGGATTTCGAAATATTTGACAAAGCTTCTCGTGGACCGTTAGGAGCGTTAATGCTCCTTTATCGCACCAAGGGTCGTTCACTAGCAGCACTCGGCGCTCTGCTAATACTCCTGCTACTTGCTATAGATACATTCTTTCAACAAGTCACCGAAGTATCCGACCGATGGACCCTCCAGGCAACTCTCGCGGCAGTGCCTAAGGCATACAACTACGAATCGACCTATCCGAAAGAGTACCTAGATGGATATGAGATAGCAACAGACGATAAAGACACCTTCTTAATAATCGAAAAGTTTTCCTACGGCGAAGGCATACGTCCAGTCGTGTTCGGAAACGCCGTTCGCCCCGATATCTCAATCGTAAGTGATACACGATACGTCATCTCGATTATCTTCCACCGTTGATCTCCACGCTGACGAGCTACGTCTAGTCTTGCTCGACTAGTAACTGTACATGGCCCTTGTACAAGACACTAGGCGTTTGCAGTCAATGCATGGACATATCTACTGAGCTCTCGTTTGCGTGCTTGACGCAAACTGTGGATTGGACCGCAGATTCAGATGGATTATTCGATCTTCAGCAGCCGTACCCTAATGCGACAGCGTGTGGTTACTTTCTAAACGCAACAAGCGACAATCCGACATTGATGTCAGGATACCTGTGGGACGAGGCCAACTCGATCGCGGGCGAAGCCCTCACGATGCGCACTTTTCCACTGACTCAAATCATCACGAAAGAGCCTTTATACGGCAACGGTTCCATTCATTTCAAGCACATACGCCACAAGATTCAAGACGTTCTAATTGTCTCATCGAGCGATGGGTCAGCTGAAGCGGTGTACCGAAATGAGACGCCTGTGGCACAAGAGTGCCACTTATCTTGGTGTGTAAAGACCATGAGCTCGTCATATACTTGGGGCGGGTACAATGAAGAAGTAGTTGACACTGTCTTCAACACCACTTCTGGTCCATTTCCTTGGGAAGCCTATCCTTACCAGACCGAGGTTGAGAACGGTACCGATATCTTCTATATGGAGAACATAACTATCAAGGCGGGAGAGTTCACCGGCGATGGCAAGCTTGCCAATTTTGGGACGTCAAATAATACTGCCTTGGCGTTGATGCAAGGCTTCACAGATATATTCCCCGCATACACCACTCAGGCCAATAAGTCAGCTTCCCCAATTCTGCGCTACAAGACATGGAAGACAGGTTCTCCATGGCACCAAACGCTCTTCTTCAACCCCTGGCTTGCTCCAAACAATGTCACGAGGCACATGGAACGATTAGCCACAGCTCTCACCAACGTTATACGATCAGCGCCTACCCGCGAGGATGTCGAAGGCCACGCGTTTTCTAAGGCCAACTTCGTATCAGTAAGATGGGCATGGCTTACGTTCCCACTTCTCTTACTGGTCCTAAGCTTCATCTTTCTGGTTTCGACAATAATCAAAACCTCCAAGGATACTGGTGCCGGTATCTGGAAGACTTCCGCGATGCCGACCCTTATCTACAGCTTGCCGAAAGAGGCGCAAGCCCAGTTCACCAAATCACCAACTTGGAATAGTTCAAAAGATACGAAGAAGGTCCGTATAAGATTGCTACCGAAGACAGGATGGAGGGTGTCCGGCCAGAGTTTATTGAGCCGTTCTCCGCAATTACCACAACCTGCTGTGCAAGCACCACGCGGTTGGATTTGAAACATGTCGCACCGCGCTGTGCGGTTGCTTATGCAGCGGGCTATATTTAATATATGATGTGAATATTGTTCAAATGACAAGGCAGGACTATGATGCTGGATGCACATTGTGAACTCTCATACATCGTGATCTGACAAGTCATCAGGCGGTCGGGAGTATCCCAATGTATACTACCCAATCTGATGCATGAAGCAAGATCTCATGGATCTGCCTAGACCTACCGGATAACTATGTGTGATGAAGCCCACAAAGGTCTCTTGAAATGCTGGGGGAGGGGTGAGGTGAGTAGATGATGGAAGGTGGCACTACGCCCAATGCGGTGCACGCTTGGACCAGGGCACAATTGCTACAACAGTTTGCTCTCGCGCAGACTTCTCTCTTCTCCAGTGCACATCATGGCGTCCAACAATGGAACTTCTGTGCCCTCGAAATTTACAATCGGTCGATCAAATCGACTATCACAAACCCCCAATCTGACTCCGAACAATACGACTTCGATCTATTCACACCAGACCACGAATGCGCCCAGCTGTGTCGAATGCGGCCTCAAATGCCCAAACTGCTCGTCACCGAGAGCACCGGCGGTGAAGCTAGACGAGAAGAAGAATGCGCGACTGCCTGAACCTGATCAGGTGTCACCTGGCAATGTGGACTTACCTCGGCCTGACAATCCGAATGCGCGTTCCGTTGCCAATCAGACTGAGAAGGAGGGAGATAAGGATGACAGCAATCTCCACATTGAGGAAGAAGACAAGAAGGGTGAAGATGAAGACGAAGACGAAGATGACGCCAAAGTGGAGTGGTCGAAATACGTTTCACTGCGACTCTACAAAATGGCCCGAGCCGACCCCTCACTCATGACAATGACAGCGGCAGAAATCGAGCAATTCAATGAGCAAGGTCTCAAGCATCAATACGACAAACATTTCAGTCCTCGTGAGCGAACCTTGTGGGACGACGAGTCTTTGCCCCGACACCTGGTACTAAAGCTCATCCGATTCCGCCAAAGCATCGAGCGCGACGCAGCGAACGCCTTGGAGACAGAAGACAAGGAACCAAACTATGACGCCCATATCTTTGATCAACCCAGCGACTACTTGAGTGATCTTCGGAACTACGCCTACGAACTTGTCGCCGAAGACCGCGAGCGCGAAGTGAAAGCGACGGAAAATATGCAAGAAGCCGCGGAACATGGATCCGCAGAAGAGGAATATGAGTCCGCAGAGGAGGAATACGAGCACCCAGGGGAGGACGACTATCGCCCTTCTTACTCCGACCGATCTCGAAACCTACCTGCGATGGAACACAGTTACCCGACTTCGACGCACCACTCCGAATTTTCACCCGTCAACTACAATAGTCGGAACACATACGGGCATAACAACTTCTTTGGGCAGAACGCAGCTCCACAAGACGATTGGAGCGGTAACGGCCCTCAGTCTAGCCGAGGCGAGACTACCTACTACGACTGGGATGGCTCTCGTTCGCCAGAGGAGGAGACGACGTGGTGGTAGGGTCTGTTCAAGCACGACACTAGTTCCTTCTAGTGCACGATATCGGCTCTGCTGATCGCACGCATCGACACAATGGATGCATCATACTGACTTCGGTCGGTCTACCATACTGACTTCGGTCGGTCACCATACTAACTTCGGTCGGTCTACCATACTGACTTCGGTCGGTCACCATACTGACTTCGGTCGGTCACCATACTGACTTCGGTCGGTCACCATACTGCCTTCGGGCAGTTACCATACTAGCTTCGCTAGTCGCAACACGCATCAAGGTGCGTCACGATGCTACACAATGCGCGCTGTATATAGTCTTGGTATACATCGTTCAATCAAACGGTCTCATGCCTACAAAAGAACACCAAGTGCGATGCCTATCAACGTTATTGTTACGAGTTAACTGTAGGACTTGATCAAACCAGACTTGCCCAAGTTTGCCGTTTGATTTTAGCATCCATGATAGAGGCCTCTCTACTGTCTCTACTAACGGAGACCATAGAAGGCAGCACGGATTTGTGACCACAAGCGACTAACTATGTAGTCGCAAAGACAATGCACAGGGTAGTATCAGAGTGGTGTACAGTAGGAGAACTGTTTACATTTTAAAAAGCTCTTGGATCGATTGCAATGTGATTACTTGGTGTGATGAAAGTCATGAGGAGCAGCGTGTTGCATTACGACGCGTTCTCAGTCTCAGGCTCACGTGACTGAGTTTCGGCCGTCCTGATTCGTACCGCGACTGTCATGCTCTCTGATCTTCTTCCAATTGCTGTACGAGTCGCCGCAACACCATCATCCTACGCTCTTGGATAATCCAATAGTTCCCGCATCAGTAGTTTCCAAGGCATTCATCAGGGTGAGGCGTAGGTCACGGATCGAAGCGCCACTACATGCGTAGTGGAAATGAGCATGGCGTACGATATTCTGAATACAATTGTACTTGGTGAGCCTCATTTATGGATAAAGCCCCAGGCGATTGCCTTCGCTGTTGACAACAGCTTCGTCAATTGAACCACTACAAACACGCATCGTCCTCCAATTCTTCTAGACATCTGAGTCTGAGATCAATACTCTTCCTTCCCACTCATACCAATATGCGCGTACAGGCAGTCACCGTGCTTCTGTCCTTTTCTCTTGCTATCCTCGCGGCACCGGTCCCGGACGCCGAGGTAATTCATCTTGCAGTCATATCCCCAGGTCTTCGCTAATAGGGTATAGACATCACTTCATGATATCTCGTCTGCTAGCGCAAGCCATCGACGAGATGCGATCCCTATAACTCTCATCGAGCCCTTGAAAGCACGCAGCCAGGCCGAAGAGGTGCCTATTGAAGCTCGCGGCAGGGTCAATACCAGTACCGGACGAGGAAAACGAGAGGCCGAAGCCGAGGCTGAGGCTGAAGTCCTCGAAGCACGCGGAAGGTTCGGGGGTAAAGCGGATGGCGTTCCACGGGATGCAGATGCGGAGACCGTCAAGCGGGTCATCGGGTTTCCAAAAGGTGGCTCGTCCAGAAGACGTCGGGATGCATAGAGGCTCAAGTTCAACAGCCCTGGTGGTCATCGACGAGATGCGGATGCAGAGGCCATCGATCGATCTATTGGGGTTCCAGAAGGTAACTCGAACACCGATGGAGTCGCTATTTCCAACGAGGCCCTGGCCGACCGTGGTCGCCTTGTCACATGGCCCCGCACACGCGATGCTGAGGCATCGAACGACGTGGTTGCGCGTGGAAAGGGAGTGCCATGGACCCCTAAGCGCGATGCTGAGGTAATCAAGATCAACAGCCCTGGCGGCCATCGACGAGATACCATTCCAAGAGGCATTCGCGGTAATGGTGCCAACCCAAGAGGCGTTCGTCCGGGGAATGGTAATAACCCAAGAGGCTTTGTTCGTCCGGGGAGTGGTACTCGCCCAAGGGATGTCATTGCAGAGACGGTCGAGGCTCGCGGGAGGTACAGAGGCAGCAGCCGTCTCGTTTGATCGATGAAGACCAGGGAGTTCAATCGGACAGTTACCATCTCTTTTGTTGATGCGAGCTCTTTTTGTACAACAACATCGGCTCGGATACCTCAAGGACCTGCTGGACACCAGGCGAAAGGTATCCAGCCATTCCATATCTCTTTGCAATGGAATATATGTATTTCCATTACTAGCGCCTCGTTGCTACAGCACGGTAGGCGTTGTGTTGGCGGTTGTTGTGATGTCGGAGGCGAGAATAGGGTTTCTAGATATCATCCAGCTCACGCTGGGCTTGAGCTCGGCTTGAGTCGTCAGTCGATACTTGGCCGTCATTGGACAACGCAAGGGAATGCAAGCTTTCGTCTTACTTGGATGACGTCACAGATACATTGTTTCCAGTGAGATGTTTATCCTTCGCGTGTTAAGAGAGCAAGACCTTCTGAGATGATTAGGCGGTAGCGTCCAATTGTGGTTAGCGTGAAAATTGGCTAGCGTCCGGGCGGCTCGCAACAAAACACCAGCAGCCTCCCCAGTCTTTTCGCGCTCCAGTCACCACTTTGAAAATGGATGACTCACGTGGCAGCAGCGATGCCGCAACACCTCCAAACCCAGTCCAACAATTGGACTACCACACACAACAAGACCACGCCGATCAATATGAACGCTCCATTGAGAGCCGACGCGCTTACCTTGCGTCGTTGCCTCTTCCATCGGAAATACGGCAGGGAATACAACAGGGAAATGAGGAGTTTATGAATTGGGTTCGGGAGATCCAACGAGCTGACCAGCATGATCCACCACGGCCTAATCAGGCTTTGCAAGACCTACTGCGGGCTCAGAGATCCGCCGCTCTTCCATCCACAACTCAGCAAAATGCGCCACACACTCGGTCATTCGAGCAACCCGATTTGACGGCTCAGAGCTCGGTCTCGCCTTCACCTACGACTTTGCAAAATACGTCTCCAACTTCGTCAGTCGATCGAGCTGAACTACGTGCTCGGTGGGCAACCTTGCCTCTTCCTACGACCCTGCAGAATGCGACTTACACGGAAGAACGAGCTGCTCTGCGAGCGCTAAGGGCAAGCCTACCTCTACCTACCACTCTGCAGAATTTGGCCCAAGAGGCGTTGACAGGCGATCGAGCCGCTCTGCGGGCTCAGCGGGCAGTGCAACGTCTAGTCCACGAGGTAGCAACACGCCATCAAGCTGCTCAACAGACAACTCAGCCTTTACAACCGACTCCGCCAAATGTGCCTCATGTGAGGATATATTTATACATGCATACTGAGCCAAGATCTCGACGAACAAACACATAGTCGATATCTGACGGCCAGCCGGCCACCATCTACGATCCGATCCCGCCATGGTCTGACATGGCCGTCAGAGGTGACTCTGGTCGACACCATCTGGGTCATACAACCCGTGGCCGTGGATGTGGACCAGAGCGCAGCTCCTACTGATACCGGTAATCTGGGTATATGATGTCAATCTTCATGATCTTCGATAACCGACTATGCAGGTTCCTTAATACTGACTGTGTTAGTCCCTGATACTGGCTTCATGCTGGTGGTGACACTAGCTCTGCTGGTCCATGATACTGCATTATTGTGGTCCCTGATACTGGCTTCATGCTGGTGATGATACTGGCTTATGCTGGTGATGATACTGGCTTCATGCTGGTGACGATACTAGCTCTGCTGGTCCATGATACTAGCCTTTGGTTGGTGATGATACTGACATTCGTCGGTCAAATTATACTGGATACGTCTAGTCTTGACAAAACATTTCTCTACTTATCTTCATGGTGTCACTGGGTAACACTGCTGGATACGCGCAGGAAACAATTTAGATAGCAGCACCAATAGTGTTGAGTCTACCAACTTGTGACTCTAATACAAATCTCAGATGTTACAAATGTCATTCCAACTCACTCACACATCGTGGCTCATCCCTCGATCCATACGCATGCTCTCTTTCACTGTGGGGCCGCCTTTGCTATTCTGAAGCAAGTAGTTGTTACCCTTTCGCGATTCCTTCTCGGCTTTTCTTGCTTTCTTCGCCGCCTTCCTCTCCTTGCGCGACGGAAATTCGCTTCCAGGCCCTTTCAAAACGATACCAGGATGCACAACTGCCAGCAATACCAGTGCCAACACCATCGGCACAGCATCCAGTCCCAACACATACCCTTCTGTGCCAACGAGAACGTTCGTCGCACCCTTAACTCCAGCCGAGAATTCGATCAACCGGAAGATGATACGCGTCGTGATGAGCACAAGGACAGCATACAGCGTATACGTCAGTAACTTCCAACGCACCGTACCTGCCCTTCGATCACTTTCCGTATCCTCCCGACCTTGGCGCTCCACCCTCAGCATATCCAAATGAAACCTAACAATCAGCGCCAGAAACATCAGAATGAAGACCTGTTGTACACCCACACCAACCATATACACGTTCTTCCCGTATCCATTGGTCTTAGCACCAGCCTGCGGGTTCATCATAACTCCACCCGCAGCCTGAACAATGAAACTGAAGATATCAAGCCCCACGAACCAGCGCCCTATCTTCACTGCTTCAATACGCCATAGCTTCTTCCGCGGATGCAAGAAGTACACCAGCCGGCCCGCAGTCATATACACGAAAGCGTTGATCCACAGTGGTGCAAGCAGGAAGAGCAGCGTAGACAAGATGACCAACGCTTCGTTTTGCTGGTTTCGTGTACCAAGCGCGCGTAGGATGAAGGAGACGAACTCCCATATTGCGCCTGTGATGAGCACCCAGCAGAAGCGCTTTCGATGGAGGACTGCGAGGCCGATGTGTGCGATTGTGAGGAGACCGAAGAGGAGGGTGAAGACTATGGCGGCGGCGAGGGAGGGGTTGTATTGGTAGAGCGCGTTGCAGGCGTAGGGTGGGACGTGGCCGTTTGAGTCGGGGATGGCGGTGATGCATGCGGGTGTGGTTGGAGTGCTGGAGGGGGCTGTTGACGACGGCATGGTCGGTAGAGTTATCAGATCGTCTTGCTACAGCGGGTTGGTAAATGTCAA